GCCAGCATGGTGTACGAGAACATCCCTGGGGGGACAGTTAGGGACCTGGGGCTGGGGGGGCCCCTGGCTGGGACTGGGGGGGTCCCTGCACAGGGCCAGGGTGTTTTGGGGTCTCTGGGCACCCCTGTTTAGCATTGAGGAGGTTTGGGGGCTGTGGAGAGGGGAGATCAGCCTGCCTGGGGGTGCCCAGGGGTGCCATGTCCAGGTTGGGGTTGCTCTGGGGGTGCCCTGGGCACACTGGGGGCTCTGGGGGTGCCCTGGGCACACTGGGGGGGTCTGGGGGTGCCTTTCCCCCCTCACCGATGCTGAAGAGCTGCGAGTTCATGCAGTGGAAGTAGGTGACGAAGACGAGGGCCAGGGGCCGCGTGGCGTCGAAGAAGAGCAGGAAGCCGGCGGAGAGGTCGAGCACCAGCCCGCCGCCGTGCACCACGAGCCGGCTGGTCAGCTCCTCCGACAGCACCAGCCTGGCCACGGAGCCTTCCTCGGCATCGGCCCCGCCCCAGCCTCACCCTCCTCCTCCTCCTCAGCCCCGTCCCATCACCGCCCTCACCTTCCTCCTGCTGCGCGTCACACTCCTCATCCTCAACCCAAACCCATCCCCCTGTGCTCATCCCATCCTAACACAGGCCTGCAGACCCCCTCCCTTCCCCATCATCATCATCATCATCATCGAACCTCCTTAACCTCATTCTCCAAGCCCATAACCCTCCCAAACCTATCCCACTGATCCCATCCCAGCCCCACCTTCATCCTCATCCCCTCCCCATCACCCCCTCCCCATCCTCACCTTGGACCCCTCAATTCTGCCACACCCTCACTGACCCCCTTCACCCTCCTCATCCTCACCCCGTGCCCCCCCGGCCCCTGCCCTGCCCTGGCCTGACCTGAAGGGTGCAAAGAGCCAATGCCGGGCCAGGGTCCCCATGGAGAAGCCCCCGACCCAGTCAGCGTCCAGCTTCTTGAGCCCCGCGATGAAATACACGATGAACACCTGGGGGGGCACGGTCAGGGGGTCCCGGGGGTCCCGGGGGCGGTCACAAGGGAGGGGTTTCAGGGCAGGGACACCCACCTGGGCACGCAGCAGGGCATAGTTCCACAGCGGCACGTGGGCATTGCGCTTCTGGGCCCGGAACAGCCCGTCCACAGAGCTGGGGGGACACGGGGGGACACAGGGGGACACTCACTGTCCCCAGCGTGCCACCACTGCCACAGCCCTGGGCACACGCTGGGGACACAGAGCCAGGCCTGGCAGCAGGACCTGTCCCACCAGGTGGGTGCACAGGGATGTCCCCTGGGGACACGGCACCATAGGGACACCAGGAGCTGTGCCACCCCAATGCCACAGGGGTCCCCAGGACCTGTGCCACCCCATGGGAACCCCAGCCCCCTGTCAGCACCCTGCTGCTCCTGGGATCCCCTGTGCCCCTGCCGCCCCCCGGTGCCCACCCGTACTGGTCAGTGCCCGTGTCCCCCTGTGTCCCCCTGTGTCCTCCCGGTGCCCACCCGTACCGGTCAGTGCCCGTGTCCCCCTGTGTCCTCCCGGTGCCCACCCGTACCAGTCAGTGCCCGTGTCCCCCTGTGTCCCCCGGGACCCCCGGTGCCCACCCGTAGCGGTCGGCGCCCAGCAGTGCCAGCTGGAAGCCCAGCAGCCCGTAGAGGTAGGAGTGGTTGTTCCAGGAGGTTTTGTCCAGCAGCAGCAGGTACCAGTATGGGCACAGGAACGCCACGCAGCTCAGCCGGTAGCAGCAGCCCAGCATGATGCCCAGGGCTCCTGCGGGCACAGGGCGCCCGGTGTGTCCCCTGTCCCCGGTGTGTCCCCTGTCCCCAGTGTCCTCTGTCCCCAGCCTCCCTCCGCTCCCCTGCCAGTCCCAGTGCCCATTCCTATCCCAGTGCCCATCCCAGTGCCCATTCCTGCCCCAGTGCCATCCCCATTCCTGCCCACATCCCATCCCCATTCCTGTCCCAGTGCCATCCCCGTTCTTGCCCCATTCCTGCCCCATTTCCCCCCCTGTCCCCCCCCCGGTTCCCGCCCGTTCCCACTCCCGTTCCCCCCGTTTCCCCGGCGCCCGCACCGAGGAACATGACGGTGTAGAGCAGGTACATCCAGTCCAGGGGCAGCGGCGCCAGGAAGGGCAGCAGGGGGAAGCGGCACACCTCCAGCCCGTCCAGGTACCGCTGGTCCAGGTGGCCCAGTCCGCGCTCCTGCGGCACGTCCAGCGCCATCAGCAGCCCTGGGCACGGCGGGCACGGCGGGCACGGGGGCGGCGGTCAGCGGGGGCCCGGTCCGTGGCCACTCGGTCACTGACCGCTCCTCCCGCCCGGACACCGCCGGACCTTTGCTCCGGTGCTGACGTGTCACGGCCGGACACCGCCGACCCCCGGATCCCGGCCCCGAGCCCCATCCCCCGAGCCCTCGCGGTCTCCCCGAGCCCCTGCTCGCTCCGTCCCCCCGGTGCCCCCCGGTGTCCCCCCGTGCGCGGTCCCGCTGCCCCGGTGCCCCTCAGAGCCCCGCGGTCCCGCCATCCCCCGGTCTCCCCGTGCCCCCGAAGCACCTCCGGCCCTCCCGGTCCCCCTGGTCGGTCCCAGCCCGGTTCCCCCCCGGTGCCGGTCCCCGCTGACCGAAGGCGGCGCGGAAAGCGCCGAGCGCGGCGGGGTCCTGCGGCCGGTGCAGCAGCCGCACGAAGCGGTGCCAGCGCGTCAGCTCCCGCAGCTCGAAGCCCAGCAGCCGCCGCGCCAGCCCGGGCCCGGAGCCGGTGCCGGTACCGGGGGATTTGGGGGTCCCGGTGGCGCTCGGGGGGGGCTCCGCCGCCGCCTCCCCCCGCTCCGGCCGCCGCCGCCGCGCCGGGCCTGCCGGGGGGGTCACAGGTCAGGGGTCGGGGGTCACGGGGGGTCCCGGTGATCACGGGGGTCCCCGGGGGCCCCGCGCCCCCCGCCCCGCTCCGCACCCGCCGCCGCCGCCGCCATCGCCACGGCCCCGCCCCGCCGCACGTGACGGCCGCGGCAGCCAATGAGCGGCGAGGAGGGCGGGGCAAAATGACCACACCCTGTTAAACCCCGCCCCTTACCCCCGTTAAGCCCCACCCCCGCCACCCCCGGTACCCCCGAACCGGGACCGGAACCGGGACCCCCGGGCCGCCCCAAACCCCCCGAACCCCCCCGGGCTCTGCGCGACCCCCGGCCCGCCCTGACCCCGCCGCGCCCCCGGCCCGCCCCGCGCCCGCCCCCGGCGCCGCCGCCGCTCCCGGAAGCCCCGGGCGGGCGGGGCGGGTCCGGGGCCGCCGCCGGAGCGGAGCCGAGCGGGGCCGGACGGACCATGGTGGGGACGGGGCACCGGGGGGCACCGAGGGGGGCACCGGGGTGCGGGTGCGGGGGTCCCCGGGGTGTGCGGGGGCTCCGGGGTGTGCGTGGCGGAGCAGCCGGGGTGATCCCGGGTGTCTGTGGGGTGTTCATGGGGTGTCGTGCGGGGTCCCGCAGGTGACCCTGAGCCCTGCCCCGTTCCGCAGGCGGGGGTCCCGGGGGATGCCCCCCTGGCAGACGGCGCGGGGGGCTCGGGGCGCGTGCGGGCGCTGCAGCAGGAGGTGCAGGGGGTCACCACCATCATGAGCCAGAACCTGGAGCGGATCCTGGCCCGCGGCGAGAACCTGGAGCAGCTGCACAGCAAGAGCCAGGACCTGGAGGCCACGGTGAGGGGACACGGGGGGCGTGAGGGGGGCACGGGGCCACCAGGGTGGGCAGGGGGTCACCAGGGTGGGCACGGGGTACCTGCATTGGGCACGATGTCACCAGGATGGGCAGGATTGTCCCCAGGGTGGCAGGGCCGCCCTCAGGACCTCAGCCGACGTCCCTGGGGTGGCATTTGGGGTGCCCGGGTGACAGCGGTGTCCCCAGGGGCTAAGGGCGGTCCCTTGAATGGGATTTGGGTTCTCCAGGGTGGCGTGGGTGTCCCCAGGGTGGCGTGGGTGTCCCCAGGGCTGTCCCCAGGGCTGTCCCCAGGCCCCTGAGCCCTGTCCCCGCAGTCGGAGCATTTCCGCACCACGTCGCAGAAGATGGCCCGGCGCTACTGGTGGAAGAATGTGAAGCTGCTCATCATCCTCGGCCTCGTGGGCGTCATCGTCCTCATCCTCATCATCCTCCTGGCCACCGGCACCATCCCCACCTAGGGCCACCGTCCCCACGGGGACATGGCCACCCCAGGGCACAAATACAGACGGGGGGAGAGCCAGAGGGACTTGTGTGTGTGTGTGTGTGTGTGTGTGGGGACACGGGGGGACATGGGGGACACATGGGGGGACACAGATGGTGAGATGGGCATGGGGATGTGGGGGGACACGGGGGGATGTGGTGAGGGACACATGGGGACATGGGAGAACACAGGCACGGGGACACAGGGGACAGGCATAGGGACACAGGAGCATGGGGGACACAGGCCCCGGGGATGTGGAGACACTGCCGTGGGGTCACGAGGGGGGGACACGTGTGGGGACACTGGCACGAAGGGATGTGTGTGTGTGGGGGGGTTGGGCCGTGCCAGGCACCGAGGGACAAAGGACACTGTGGTGGCACTGCCACCCTCGGAGGCCGGGGAGGGGGGAGGAGGGGAGGGACGGGGCAGGGACACGGGGGGGTCCCCGGGGACTCGGACACGGGGTCCTGGTGTGGCCCCACATCTGCAGGGACTGGGGACACCGACACGGGTGGGGTGCCTTTCCTGGGGACAGGGCAGTGCCAAGGACACGAGTCCGGGGGTCCTGGGGACAGGGGAACATGGGGACAGGGGGGCTGCAGGGACAGGGGGGACACTGGGGACATGGGTAGGGGGGAGTGGGGGTCCCGGGGAGCCCCGTCCCGGGTTGTGTCCGGGCTGTCCCGTGTTGTGGCCGCTCTGTGTCCGGTCTGTCCGGCTCTGTGGCCACTCGAGGGTGGCGGGGGGGCGGTCCCGGTCCCTCCCGGCGGGGGCGGCCGCTGCGGCCCGAGGCCGGACGGGTACAGGAACGGGCGCACCGGTACCGGCACCGAGCCCGGCCCGCGGAGCCGGGACCATGGTGAGTCCCGGCCGCCGCTTTCGCTTTCGCTTTGCTCGGGGCAGGGCGGGCTCGGGGCCCCGGGAGCCGCCGGGCTCGGATCCCCCGATGCCGGTGCCGGTTCCGGTGCCCGTCCCGGGCTCTCCCTGCCCGAGGGAGGGACGCGGTCCCCGGGGCGGTGAGAGGCGGCCCGCGCGGAACTTTCCGTGTCCCCCGCGGTGTCCCCGTGTCCCTCCCCAGTCCCCGTGCTCCGGTGTCTCCGTCCCCACGGTTTCCTGTCCCCGAGCTCCGTGCGTGTCGCCCTCGCGGTGCCACCGTCCCTGCCTGTCCCCGTGTCCCCTCCGTGTCCCCTCCGTGTCCCCTCCGTGTCCCCTTGGCCGCAGCGTCCACGTCCCCGGTGCTCTCCCCATGTCCCCCCCGTGTCCCCACGGTGTCCCCGTGTCCCCAGGCGGGGCTGGAGCGGTGCCAGCGCGAGGCCGAGGAGGTGGCGGAGCTGATGCGACAGAACGTGGCCAAGGCGCTGGAGCGGGAGGGACACCTGGAGCAGCTGCAGAGCCGGGCCCAGGACCTGCGACAGGCGGTGGGACACGGGGGGGACAGCCCGGGACAGGGGGGTGGCACCGCGGGGACACCTGGAGCCGGGCAGAGCCGGGCACAGCACCTGCGACAGGCGGTGGGACACGGGGGGGACACCCAGGGGCTGGGGACACTGTGGGGACACCCAGGGGCTGGGGACACCCAGGGGCTGGGGAGTCTCTGGGGACACATAGGGCTGGGGACACTTGGGGCACACAGAGCTTGGGGACACTGTGGGGACACCCAGCCTGGGCAGGAGAGGCTCCAGGGCTGCAGAGGGGCTGGGGGGGTGTCTGTCTGTCTGTCCCCTGCGTCCCCCCAGCCCCTGGCACTGTCCCCTGTCCCCCAGAGCGAGGCCTTCACCCGCACCACGCGCACGGTGACGCGGCGCCAGCGCAGGAGACACCGGCGGTGGCACCTGGTGGCCCTCGGCCTCGGCCTCCTCCTCATCCTCATCCTGGCGCTGGCCCTGGCGCTGGCCCTGGCGCGGGCGGCGCCCGGGGCTGTCACCAGCACTGTCCCCACCCCGCGGGGTGGCACCCAGCACCCCCCCAGCACCGCGGGCACCCTCTGAGGACAGAGGGACGGACAAGGAATAAAGGACAGAGAAACACCCGGGCTCGGGGGACACCTGCAGGGACAGCACTGTCACCCTGCAGTGACACTGACAACCAGCGGGACATCCTCCAGGAGACCCCACAGCCAACGAACTGCAGAATCTGCTCTGAAGAGACCCCACACCAAAACCCAGCCGGCCCCACGCGAGGGAAACAGCACAGCGAGCACAGGAGCTGTGCGGACACCGAGATCCCAAACCTGGAGCGTGGAGCTCGGGGAGACCCCGCAATGAACGAACACCAGGGTCTGCTTTGGGATGGCCCTGCAACAAATAAACACCAGGGTCTGCTTTGGGATGGCCCTAAAATGAATGAACACCAGGGTCTGCTTTGGGATCACCCTGCAATGAATAAACACCAGGGTCTGCTTTGGGATGGCCCTGCAATGAATAAACACCAGGATCTGCTTTGGGATGGCCCTGCAATGAATAAACACCAGGGTCTGCTTTGGGATGGCCTTGCAATGAATAAACACCAGGATCTATTTTGGGGAGACCCTAAAATAAACGAACACCAGGATCTGCTTTAGGATGGCCCTACAATAAATAAAAATCAGGATCTGCTTTGGGATCACCCTGCAATGAATAAACACCAGGATCTAGTTTGGAGAGATCCTACAACAAATAAACACCAGAATCTATTTTGGAGAGACCCCACAATAACTAAATACCAGAATCTGTTTTGGGGAGACCCTACAATAAATAAAACCCAGGATCTTTTCGGGATGACCCTACAAGAACTAAGAATCTGGAATCTGATACGCAGATACCCCACAAGAATAAATCAGCAGGATGGACTCTTGGGGAGACCGCACAATAAATAAACACCAGAATCTGCTTTGGGATGACCCTACAATAAATAAATACCAAGAGATCCCACAGAAACAGGGCATGGGCTGGGCCCCAGGCTGACCCCACAACAACAAAAGGCCCTGAAATCACAAATAAGCCCCACGACCCACCCTGGGGACACCCCACAACCCACAGCACCCACCCTGGGCACACCCTGGGCACACCCAGCCTGGGCCCCAGTGCCACCAGCCTGGGCTGGGCCAGGAGGGGACGCAGAGGGGGCCCTGGGGACACGGTGGCACCTGAGGAGGGACATGGTGGCACCAGGGAGGGGCCTGGAGCCGGTGTCACTGCAGGGCCACCCCACCTGGGCTGCTGCAGGGGACAGGTGGCAAGGTGACACCCAGGGGCCGCGTCACTCACCCCCCCCACCACAGCCCGTGCCTCAGTTTCCCCGAGCAGCGAAGGACACGGAGCCTCGCAGCACCTTTATTGACACGGGGGGACAGCGGCGGTGCCGGGGGGTGGCACGGGTCCCGGGGGAGGGTGGCAGCGCCCGGGGCCGTGCCCGCAGCGTCACCCCGTGCCCCGGCGCTTGCTGAGCTCGTCCTGCACGCGCTGGCACAGGGCCCTGCGCAGGGGGGGCTCCAGGGGGCTGTGGGCGCACACGCGCCGCGTCACCTCCTCCGCGCTGTCCCCCTGCGGGCGGCACCGCGTCACCGTGTCACCGTGTCACCCATGCCACCCGTGTGACCGTGTGACCGTGTCACCCGTGGCACCATGTGACCGTGTCACCGTGTCACCCGTGTCACCCATGTCACCGTGTCACCGTGTCACCCATGTCACCCGTGTGACCACGTCACCCGTGTCACCCGTGTGACCACGTCACCCGTGTCACCGTATCACCTGCGTCACCGTGTCACCCGTGTCACCCGTGTCACCCGGTCAAGGAGCCTGCCGCGGCTCCGGGGCACCGGGGGAACCCATCGGGTAACCCCAATGTCCCCGGGGTAACCCCACTGCCCTGAGGAGCCCCACAGAGCACCCTCACTGCCCCCAGAGACCCACCGGGGTGACCCCACTGTCCCCAGGGTACCCCCACTGTCCCCAGAGCACCCCCAGGACACCCCCACTGTCCCCAGGGACCCCACCATGGCACCCCCACTGCCCCAGAGCACCCCCAGGTCACCCCCACTGCCCCCAAGGACCCACCAGGGTGACCCCACTGTCCCCAGGGATCCCCGTGGGGTACCCCCACTGTCCCCATAGCACCCCCCAGGTCACCCCCACTGCCCCCATGGCACCCCCCAGGAGACCCCCCTGTCCCATGGGACCTGTGGCACCCCCATCCCCTCAGGTCCCCCATCTCGGGCACCCCCATCCCGGGCATTCCCCGTTCCCCGTTCCCGTTCCCCGGTGCCGCACCTGGTGCACGATCACGGCCGTCACCCGCCCGTCGTCCCCCTCGTACTCGAGGCAGAAGAGCCGCGGCCCCCGCGCCGGTTCCGGGGCGGCCGCGCTGCCCTCGGCGGGGGAACCCGCGCTGGCATCGCCCCCGGGCCCGCCTGCGGCACCGGCACCGCCTCAGCGGGGACACCGGGACCACCGGGGGCTCCAAACCCCGGGGTCCCCATCCCCGGTGTCCCCATCCCCACCCTCGGTCCCCCCCATTCCCCCGTTCCCCCCGGTTCCCCGCTCACCGCCCCGGTGCGGCCGGTACACCTGCTGGTCGGGCCGCCGGGGCCGCGCCGGGCCCGGTGTCAGCCTCGTCCGCGCTCGGCCCCGCGCCTGCCGCACCGCACGGTCGTACGCGTCCCTGGCACCGGGGGCACAGCGGGGTTAGCGGGTGAGGGGAACCGGGAGCACCGGGGATGGGCGTCCCGGGAGGGCCGCGCCGGTGCCGGTACCTGGCGAGCTGGTTGCGGCGGATGTGCCGCACGAAGCCGTGGCTCATGTCCAGCCGTCCCCCCGGCCGGCAGCGCCAGCCCGGGGCCGCCGCTGTGGCGGGCGCCGCCTCCATCCCGGTACCGGCGGCGGGCTCGGTACCGGGGCGCGGCGCCTTTAAGAGCCCCGCGGGCCCGGCCGCAGCCGCCAGGGGGCGCCGCAGCGCGCAGGCGCGGTACCGCCTCTTCCCGGAGCGGCGGCCGCGCATGCTCGGCGCACAGCTGACGTTTTTACCCCGCGCCGCGCATGCGCACAGCGCACAGCGGCGCCGCCATGTCGAGTCGCGGGCGGCGGGACCGGGAGTCCCGGGAGCCCCGGGAGCAGCGCGGGGCCAGCACCGCCCGCGCCTCCTCCCGCAGCCGCCGCGACGCCGACGGAGAGCGCTCGCGGGGCCGGCGGGACTCGGAGCGGGAGCGCGCGCGGCGGGAGGCGGCGGAGCCGCTGCCGGTGGATCTCGCGCGCGTCAAGCGAGAACCGGGCACCGGCACCGGGAGCAGCGTCTGGGGGGGCTCCGGTACTGCCGGGCCCGCCGCGCCCGTGCGGGTGAAGAGGGAGCGGGAGCCGGATGGAGACTCCGACCCTGAGCCCGAGCCCGCCGGTGAGGGCCGGGGGGAACGGGTGGGACCGGAGGGCTGAGGGGACACGGGGCGGTGGGGGGACATTGGGGTGTCTGAGGGGGCTCTGGCATGGCAGTGGGGTGTCTGTGGGGGGTTCTGGGACCGGAGGTCACCGCGGTCGCTGGTCCTGAGCTCAGCTCTGGGCAGGGTTTGGAGGCACTGGGGGGAACTGGGGCTCAGCCCCAGGGAAGTGTCACAGAGGGGGTTTGGAGGGATCATCCTCGTGTTTTCGGGGTCCTGTGCCCCCCTTTTCACACCCTCCCACCCTCCCCAGTGCGTTACGGGCGCTTCGACCCCGAGGACCAGCGCAGCCGGCACTGCCCCTACCTGGACACCATCAACAAGTGGGTGCCGGGGCTGCTTTGGGGTGCCCCCCGCGGCCCCCCAGCCCCCTGACAGCGCTGTCCCCCCAGGAGCGTGCTGGACTTCGACTTCGAGAAGCTCTGCTCCATCTCCCTGTCCCACATCAACGTCTACGCCTGCCTCGTCTGCGGGAAGTACTTCCAGGGTGAGGGACAAACCCTCTGGGGACAGCCAGGGGGCAGCAGGGACAACGGGGACAGCGCTGGGGACACCCCGGTGCCGTGCCCGGTGCCCGGTGCCATGGCAGCGCCCTGTCCCCGCAGGCCGCGGGCTGAAGTCGCACGCCTACATCCACAGCGTGCAGCTGAGCCACCACGTGTTCCTCAACCTGCACACGCTCAAGTTCTACTGCCTGCCCGACAACTACGAGATCATCGACTCCTCCCTCGAGGACATCACGGTGCGGGCGCGGGGGCACCCCGAGAGGGGGCTTTGGGGGGATCTGGGGGGTTTGGGGGGGATCTGAGGGGTTTGGGTGAGGGTCTGAGGGCTTTGCGGGGATCTGAGGGGTTTGGGGGGGATCTGGGGGGTTTGGTGAGGGTCTCCCCCTCTCTGAGGGCTCTGTCTCCCCCGCAGTACGTGCTGAAGCCCACGTTCACGGCCCAGCACATCGCCCACCTGGACAAGCAGGCCAAGCTGTCGCGGGCCTACGACGGCACCACGTACCTGCCCGGCATCGTGGGGCTCAACAACATCAAGGCCAACGACTACGCCAACGCCGTGCTCCAGGTGACAGCAGCAGGGTGACAAACGGGTCCCCAGACCCTCTGTGGGGCTGGCAGGGATCATCCCCACCCCTGGATCCTTTCCATTTCAGGCTGTTTGAGATTCCCCACTCCCAGCAGTGCAGGCTCTGCCCCAAACCCCCCCAGCTCCCCTCCCGTGGGGGTCCCAGGGCTGAAGCCTCCCCGCTGTGCCCCCAGGCCCTGTCCAACGTGCCCCCCCTGAGGAATTACTTCCTGGAGGAGGAGAACTACCGGCGCATCCAGCGCCCACCCGGGGACATCATGTTCCTGCTGGTGCAGCGCTTCGGGGAGCTCATGCGCAAGCTCTGGAACCCGCGCAACTTCAAGGCCCACGTGTCCCCCCACGAGATGCTGCAGGCCGTGGTGCTCTGCAGCAAGAAGAGCTTCCAGATCACCAAGCAGGGTGGGGGGGGGCTCCTGGGGGCCTGCAGGGCTGGGGGGCAGTGCTGGGTGTGGGGGGAAGAGCTGGGCATGGGGGGTGCTGGGTCTGGGGGAGCAGGGCTGGGTCTGGGGGCTCTGGATTCGGGGTGCAGGACTGGGTTTGGGGTGCAGGGCTGGGTCTGGGGGGCAGTGCAGCTCTGGGTCTGGGGGCTTTGGATTCGAGGTGCAGGGCTGGGTCTGGGGGCTCTGGATTTGGGGGTGCAGGGCTGGATTTGGGGGGCGGCCCTGGGTCTGGGGGCTTTGGATTCAGGGTGCAGGACTGGATTTGGGGATGCAGGGCTGGGTCTGGGGGCTCACGATTCAGGGTTCAGGGCTAGGTTGGGGTACAGGGTTGGGTCTGGGGTCTCGGTTCAGGGGCAGGGCTGGCTCTGAGGGCTCTGGATTTAGGGTACAGGGATGGGTCTGGGGTCTCTGGGCTCAGGGCAGACCCCATCTCCAGCCGTGCTGTTGCAGGGGATGGGGTGGAGTTCCTGTCCTGGTTCCTGAACGCGCTGCACGCCGCGCTGGGCGGCACCAAGAGGAAGAAGAAGAGTGAGTGGGGGGAGTTCTGGGGGGCCCTGGGGGCTCTGTGCCCTCTCTGAGCCCCCTCTGAGCCCCCCGTGTCCCCACAGCCATCGTCACCGACGTGTTCCAGGGCTCCATGCGCATCTTCACCAAGAAGCTGCCGCACCCTGACCTGGTGGGACTGGGGGGAATGGGGGGTCTGGGGGTGCAGTGGGAGCGGCAGGGTCAGAAAATGGGGTGTCGGGTCAGAAAATGGGGTGTCGGGTCAGATGGGGGGTGATGGGGGCAGTGTGGGAGTGGTGGGGCTCTGACAGGGGTCTGGGTCAAATGAGGAGTGTGATGGGGTTCAATGAGGGGTGGGGTGGGGGGGTGTTGGGGTATGGTGGGGGGTCTTTGGGTACAACAAAGGGGTTTTAGGTGGGGGTCAAAATACAAATGAGTGGTGGGAAGGTCCAGCAGGGTGATGGATCCAAGGGGAGTGATGGATCCAGTGGGGTGATGGATCCAGTGGGTGATGGATCCAGTGGGGCGATGGATCCAGTGGGGCGATGGATCCAGTGGGTGATGGATCCAGTGGGGTGATGGATCCAGTGGGGTGATGGATCCAGTGGGTGATGGATCCAGCGGGGTGATGGATCCAGTGAGGTGATGGATCCAGAGGGGTGATGGATCCAGAGGGGTGATGGATCCAGTGGGGCGATGGATCCAGTGAGGTGATGGATCCAGTGGGGTGATGGATCCAGTGAGGTGATGGATCCAGTGGGGTGATGGATCCAGCAGGGTGATGGATCCAGTGAGGTGAGGGATCCAAGGGGTGATGGATCCAGTGGGTGATGGATCCAGCGGGGTGATGGATCCAGAGGGGTGATGGATCCAGTGGGTGATGGATCCAGAGGGGTGATGGATCCAGCAGGGTGATGGATCCAGTGGATGATGGATCCAGTGGGGTGATGGATCCAGTGGGTGATGGATCCAGTGGGTGATGGATCCAGTGGGGTGAGGGATCCAAGGGGTGATGGATCCAGTGGGGCGATGGATCCAGTGAGGTGATGGATCCAGTGGGTGATGGATCCAGTGGGGGGTGATGGATCCAGTGGGTGATGGATCCAGTGGGTGATGGATCCAGTGGGGTGAGGGATCCAAGGGGTGATGGATCCAGTGGGGCGATGGATCCAGTGGGTGATGGATCCAGTGGGGCGATGGATCCAAGGGGGGTGATGGATCCAGTGGGTGATGGATCCAGTGGGTGATGGATCCAGTGGGGTGAGGGATCCAAGGGGTGATGGATCCAGTGGGGCGATGGATCCAGTGGGGCGATGGATCCAGTGGGTGATGGATCCAGTGGGGCGATGGATCCAAGGGGGGTGATGGATCCAGAGGGGTGATGGATCCAGTGGGGTGATGGATCCAGTGGGGTGATGGATCCAGAGGGGCGATGGATCCAGCAGGGTGATGGATCCAGTGGGGCGATGGATCCAAGGGGGGATGTTGGGTCCAGTGGGAGGTGTTGGGTCTGGTTGGGGTGTGATGGATCCAGCAGGGCTGATGTGCCCAGGGGGGATGTGGGGTCCATGGGGCTGATGTGCCCCATGGGGCTGATGTGTGTGTGCCCCTGGGGTGCCCAGCCCGCCGAGGAGAAGGCGCAGCTGCTGCAGAACAGCGAGTACCAGGAGCGCATGGTGGAGTCCACGTTCCTGTACCTGACCCTGGACCTGCCCACGGCGCCGCTCTACAAGGACGAGAAGGAGCAGCTGATCATCCCCCAGGTGCCCCTGTTCAGCATCCTGGCCAAGTTCAACGGCAGCACCGAGAAGGAGTACAAGACCTACAAGGAGAACTTCCTGAAGCGCTTCCAGCTGACGCGCCTGCCGCCCTACCTCATCTTCTGCATCAAGCGCTTCACCAAGAACAACTTCTTCGTGGAGAAGAACCCCACCATCGTCAACTTCCCCATCACGTGAGCCCGGGCGGGGGGCTGGGGGCTGCCGGGGCGGGTGAAAAGGGTCCAAGAGGCGATTGGGGGTATCTGGGGGGGTTTGAAGGCGTCTGGAGGGGGTTTTAAATGCCTGTGAGGAGCTGGAAACATCTAGAGGGGCTTTGGGAGCACCTGGGCCAGGGGAGTGGAAGTGTGCAGGGATTTGGAGGTGTCCAGGGTGGTGTGTGGGTGTCTGGGGGGGCTTTATAGGGTTAGGGGCTTTGTAGGCATCCAGGTGGGCTCTGGGTGGTTTTTAGGCATCAGAAGGGGTTTGAAGGCACCTGGGGGTGTCGGGGGGTTTGGCAGGGGGATGTGGATGTGTGAGGGGTATCTGTGGTGGGGATCCGGGGGCGCTGCAGCAGCCCGGGAGGGACAGCACACCCATGGGTGCCCTGAGGGTGCTGTGGGTGCCCGGGAGGGACAGCACACCCATGGGTGCCCTGAGGGTGCTGTGGGTGCCCAGGAACGTGGACCTGCGCGAGTACCTGTCCGAGGAGGTGCAGGCCGCCCACTCCCACACCACCTACGACCTCATCGCCAACATCGTGCACGACGGGAAGCCCTCGGAGGGCTCCTACCGCATCCACGTCCTGCACCACGTGAGTGTCCCGTCCCGGGGGGCTGGGGGGGCACGGGGACCCCCCGAGTGACCCCGGCCCCTCCCGGGTCCTGGCAGGGCACGGGCAAGTGGTACGAGCTGCAGGACCTGCAGGTGACCGACATCCTGCCCCAGATGATCACCCTGTCCGAGGCCTACATCCAGGTGAGTGGGACAGGGGGCACCCCTAGAATGTGCTGTGACGCCCCCTCAATGCCCCCTGACACCCCCAAACATCTCCTGAACCCCCCAACCCCCTCCTGCTCTCTGCAGATCTGGAAGCGACGCGAGGAGGACGAGACGAACCAACAGCAAGGAGCCTGAGAGCCTTGGGGACACACAGAAACCCCCTGAGGACACCCAGAACCCCCTTGGGGACACCCAGAGCCCCCTAGGGAAAACCCAAAACTCCATTGAGGACACCCAGAAACCCCCTTGGGACACCCAGAAACCCCCTGGGGACACCCCAAACCCCATTGAGGACACCCAAACCCCCCCTGGGGACACCCCCAGCTCCCCCTCAGGGCCATCCCCAGCCCCCCAGGGGTACCCTGAGACCCCTTTAGGAGCACCCCAAGCTCCCCCATGGTCACCCACAGACTCGCAGGGACCCCCAACACCCACCCGGGGCCACCCCCAGTCCCCCTGCAGGTGTGTGCATCCAGTAAATGCCACCCATTATTTTTGTAACTCATTTTCACCTCCTCTCTTCTTTGGTTTGGGGGGGTTTGTGGTTTCTGCTGCTTCCCCAGCACCCCATGAGCCCCCAAACCCCCGAACACTCAGGCAGAGCTGCATCCAAGCTTTATTGGGGTAACTGGGGGGTCCCGGTGCCCCCCTAGAGCCAGACGTGGTCCTTGCAGTGCTGCACGGCCTGCGGGGGGCCCGGGGGTCGGGGGGGGTGCAGGGGGTGGCAGCCCCCCGTGTCCCCCGTGTCCCCCCGTGTCCCCCCGTGTCCCCCCCGTGTCCTCCCGTGTCCCCCCGTGTCCCCCTGTGTCCCCCCTGTCCCCTTGTGTCCCCCCGTGTCCCCCGTGTCCCCCCTGTCCCCCGTGTCCCCCCTGTCCCCTTGTGTCCCCCCTGTCCCCTGTGTCCCCCTGTGTCCCCCTGTCCCCCCTGTCCCCCCCGTGTCCCCCCTGTCCCCCGTGTCCCCCCTGTCCCCTTGTGTCCCCCCTGTCCCCTGTGTCCCCCCGTGTCCCCCCGTGTCCCCCTGTCCCCCCCGTGTCCCCCTGTCCCCCCTCACCTGGCAGCGCCGCGCCGCCTCCGGGCCCGAGCACCAGAAGATGGGGCCCAGGGCACAGGGGCCCAGGGACAGGGACAGCGCGGGGACGGTGGCGTTTCTGGGGTCCTGGGGGGGACACAGCCATGAGGGGCTGCCCCGAGGGTGGGGGCACCCCCAAGCCCCCTCCCCAGGCTGTGCCCTGTGCGCTCTGGCACCGTCCTCTGGAGGGAGGGTGGCACTGCCTGGGGAGCTCGCTGTGTCCCCAGGGGTGACAGGACGAGCCAGGCTGTGTCCCCAAGGGCTGTGACACCGTGGATGTGTCCCCAAGGGCTGTGATACCATGGATGTGTCCCCAAGGGCTGTGACAGCCCAGGCTGTGTCCCCAAGGGCTGTGACACCATGGATGTGTCCCCAAGGGCTGTGATACCATGGATGTGTCCCCAAGGGCTGTGACACCGTGGATGTGTCCCCAAGGGCTGTGATACCATGGATGTGTCCCCAAGGGCTGTGACAGCCCAGGCTGTGTCCCCAAGGGCTGTGACACCATGGATGTGTCCCCAAGGGCTGTGACACTCCCGGACGCGTCCCCTCAGTGTTGTGCCGCCCTGTCCCCTCCTGGGGCCCGTCCCCCCGTGTCCCCCTCACCTCCTCCCTGACACAGTCCGCCAGCCGCACCACGATGGCCTCCAGCACCCGGGCCGGTGGCAGCGTCCCCTCGTCCCCGCCGTCGCCGCCGTCCCCGCTGCAGGCCAGGAGGAGGCGGCAGAGCAGGCGCGGCCCCAGGCGGCCCAGCAGCCCCTCGAGGGCCAGCTCCGCGTAGCGCTCGGCCAGGCACTGGCACGCCCCGGCCACGGGTAGCGGCAGCGCCCGGCACAGCCCGGCCACGGCCGCCGCCACCGAGCGCACCGGCACCGCCGCCTCGGCCCGCGCCACCAGCGAGCGGCACAGCCAGCAGCGCGGCAGCGGCAGCGACAGCGACCGCGGGGACAGCGGGGACAGCCCGGAGCCCTGCGGGACAGGGGACAGTGCAGGGGACACTGCATGGGACAGGGGACACTGCGGGGGACAGGGGACACTGCAGGGGATAGGGGACACGGCCGGGGACAGTCCCGGGCCCTGCGGGACAGGGGACACTGAGGGGACACTGCAGGGGACACGGGACACTGCGGGGGACAGGGGACACTGCACAGGGACACGGGACACTGCCGGGGACAGGGGACACTGCAGGGGATAGGGGACACGGCCGGGGACAGCCCCGGGCCCTGCGGGACAGGGGACACTGAGGGGACACTGCATGGGAGAGGGGACACTGCACCCACCGCTGGGACACTGCACCCACCGTGGGCACTCTATGGCTGTGCCCCCCTGCTGTCCCCGTGTCCCCGTACCTGCAGGTGGCTGCCAGGCCCCTCAAAGACGGGCACAACCCCGGGCTCTCCAAGACACAGGGTCAGCTTGGCACAGGTTTTCCGGGAGTCCTGCGGGGCACAGAGTGTGACCCTGCTGTCCCCAAACCCCCGGGTGGCCCTGGGTGCCGCGCTGTGCCCGCTGCCCCCGCGTGTCCCTGGGGGCCACAGCGTCCCCAGAGCCCCTCCCGTGTGCCCCGGGGGCACTCACGATGTGCTGCATGTTCTGGAGGAAGCGATGGACAAGGTCAGTGACCACCTCCTTGCACAGGCGCTCCACCAGAGGCACATGGGGGCACGCCAACCCCACCAAGTGATCCAACACCGCCTGCACCAGGGCACCGACAGGGACAGGGACAGGCACAGGGACAGGGACAGGGACAGGGACAGGCACAGGGACAGGGACAGGCACAGGGACAGGGACAGCTACAGTGACACCCACAGTGACAGCCACCACTGCCGCGCTCACCACCACCACACCCCAGCCACACCTGTCACCGCTGCTGCCCATGGCCATGGCGCACACAATGGCACCAACCCTGTCACCTCAGCGCCGTGGCACCCAGTGACACCTGCCACTGCTTCACCCACTGTCCCAGCACCCACAGGGACACGCATGGCAGCATCTGGGACCGTGGCACTCTCAGTGGCAGCCATCACCTCATCGGCCACAGTGGCACCTCCCTGTGCCCAGTGGCACTTGCTGGCACCCACTGTGACACTCAGTGGCACCTGTGCCTGTGGCCCCCATGGTGACACCCCCAGTGGCCCCTGTCCCCACCCCCTGTGGCACCTCCACGGCCAATACGCTGGAGATTTGGCGCAGTGAGTCCAAGAGCTGCTGGCACACAGTACAGGCGTCCTGCAGGAGAGGACAGGGGGACATGGGGACACGGGGACATGGGGACATGGGGGTCTGGGGCATTGGGACACGGGGACACGGGGGTCTGGGACATTGGGGAATGGCCACAGAGGAGGACAGGGACATGGGGAGCATGAGGACATGGGGGTGTGGTGGCACAGGGATGTTGGGGGCTGGGACACGGGGACACGGGGACGTGGGGACGTGGGGACGTGGGGGAATGGAGACACGGGGACATGGGGGGGTGGCTGTGGACTCGTTGGGGTGGGACCATGGTGGGAGGACTGGGACCCTTCTGGAGGTCTGGGGACACACGGGGAGGGGGCGCAGGGACGGAGGGAAGGCTGGAGGGACACGGGGGGTCTCTCACCAGATCGGGGGCGTCTCTCAGCACCTCGGGGGGGTCTCTCAGCGCCTCGAGGGGTCCCTGGCCCAGGCGGGGGCAGCGCCCCAGGGCCCCGCAGCGCAGCGCCGTCACCCAGTCCTGGCACCAGGCAGAGGGGGGCACCCCGCAGCCCCCCCCCGGCGCCCCCAAACCTGCGGCCACGGTCAGCACCCGGCCGGGGGGCCTGGCAGCCCAGGGCCCCCCCCCTGCACCCCCAAAGCCGCCTCACCCCACACCAGCGCTTATGGGGGGACCCGGGTGTGGGGGGCCCCTCAGTGAACCCTCCCCATCCAGTACCCATCCCGGGTGGTGGAAGGGACCCCCCCAGTGACACCCCCAAACCCATCCCACACCCCAAGAGGAATCCAGACCCCACCCAAGGGCCCCCTGCCCCCCTTGCCAGGGTCTGTGCCCCCGGCCCCCTTCAGCACAGGGCCCTTGAGAGGGGTGCCCGGCTGTGGGGGCGCCCGGCTGTGGGGGCACGGGCCCTACCTGGGCTGGTCCCGAGCAGGGCGAGGAGCAGCGGCAGTGCCGGGGCCATGGCTGGGGACAGCGCGGGGACAGCGCGGGCAGGGCCGAGCCCGCGGCCTCTTAAAGCCCCGCGGGGCTGGGACGGCGCCAGCTCACGGGGACAGGTGTGCCACACACCCGCGGGGACAGGGGTGCCACACACCCGCGGGGACAGGGGTGCCACACACCCACGGGACCCCCTGTAATGTCCCCGTGTCCCCACTGCGTCCCCAGGGCTGTCCCTGAGCTCCCTGTTGGGGTCCCCATTGGGCTCCCCGTGTCCCCCGTGTCCCCCCAGCCCTGTGCCACCCCCTCCCTGTGCTCCCCGTCCCCTCCCTGTCCCTTCCCGGCAGGTCCCTCCCCGCTCCCCCCTTGACCCCACTTGTCCCTCGAGAGCCCTCAGGGCAGGTGTGGCCCCAGGGGTGGGGCACCTGGCCCAGGTGAGGCCCTGGGGTGGCTCCAGGTGCCCTCTGTCCCCCTGTGCCCCCCCCGTGTCCCTCTGTCCCCCCGTGTCCCTCTGTCCCCCTGTGCCACCCCTGTGTCCCTCTGTCCCCCTCTGTCCCCCCCGTGTCCCTCTGTCCCCCTCTGTCCCCCCCCTGCCCCTCTGTCACCTCAGTGCCACCCCCAGTGCCACCCTGCCCTTGTGCCACCCCCGGTCCTTGTGCCACCACCCTCGCTGTCCCCTCCCCTCCCCTCCCGCAGCAATCCCGGCTCTTTCGTAACCAAATAATTTATTTCCTAACAATCAAACAAGACAGAAATATCCATGGACACGGCAAAAAGATCTCCTAAAACACGGAATTCCTAAGAGAAAAAAAAAAAAAAACCAACAAAAAAACCCAAAACAAAACAAAACACAAAAAAAGCAAAAAAAAAAACCCAACAAAACAAAACAAAAAAATCAAAACAAAACAAAACAAAAAAAACAAAACAAAAAAACGGAAAAAAAAAAGAAAAATGAGGGAAAAAAAAAAGGAAAAAAGCACCATTCTATTGGCTTGCCACGGGGGTTCAGCCCTGCAGTGGGACAATATTGGGATATTTACATTTACAGCAGGAAACGGGGGCTGAGCCCGTCCCAGATGGGCTGGAGCCACTGCTTGGGGAGAGCAGAAAGAACAGAAAAAAGGAGGGGAAAAGCACAAATAATCAGAAGTGTCCCAAAGAATAACAAAGCTCGAGAGGAGACGGGGGTGGCTCCACTGGACAAATCGAGGATGAAAAGAAAAGGACATTTTGGTGCTTCCTGGGAGCTGGTGGCTTGGGATCTGCATTCCAAGAGGAAAAATAAAGGAAAACCAGCCCCAAAAATGGGGGGGTTTGGTTCCCACCCGTCCGTGCCCCGATCCCACTCCCCCCACTCCCTGGATTCTTTTTTATTTTTTATGTCACAACCTACAAAAAAGTCCTTCCTGCAGCTTATTTGATAGGAATGCTGGTGGATCAGTGAATTCCAGGAGAATCCCGGGGGCATTCCGGGCTAGTGCAGAGTTCTGGGGGTCCTGGAGCTCGGCCCCACAGTGCAAAGGGCTGCGAGGGGCAGCTTGGGGTATGAGGGGAAAAAGGGGGAGAAAAGGGGAGAAAAGGCGTTGGGAACCCAGAGAGGCACAAAGCTGCCAAACCCCCTCATCAGTGCTGAGGCCGAACCTTCAGAATGCCCAAAACCGACCAAAAATCAACGTTTGGTGCCTCTGGAAGGGCCTGCCCAGCGCTGGGAACCACCTGCCCAGAGCTGGGATTCCCCGGCTGGAGGCAAAGCCGCCCCAGCAGCTGCTGTTCCTCTTTTTCTCTGCCTTTTCCACCTTTTTGCCTTTTTTCCCCTCTTTTTGGCGGTGCAGGGGTTGAGCTCAGGTGCCTGGGGTCTGTGACAATGCCAGAGGGTGGAAAATTCCAGCAGCTTTGAAGGAAAATTCCTTGTGGTTTGGGTTTGGCTTTTTTTTTTTTTTTTTTTCCTCTCTCTTATGAGCCAGCACATGGAAAAAAAAGAGGCAAAATCTGAGGGATTTGGGCAACTTGTGAGGCCTGTGGGTTCCCATGTGAGACAGGAAAGGGATTGGGGAAGGGATTGGGGAAGGGATTGGGGAAGGGAAGAAGGGAAGGGAAGGACAGGACAGGACAGGACAGGACAGGACAGGACAGGAAAGGAAAGGAAAGGAAAGGAAAGGAAAGGAAAGGAAAGGAAAGGAAAGGAAAGGAAAGGAAAGGAAAGGAAAGGAAAGGAAAGGAAAGGGGAACAGAAAAGGAGGAAAGGAGGAGAAGGAGGAGAAGGAGGAGAAGGAGGAGAAGGAGAAAAGGGAAACAAGAAACGAGGAAAGGGATAAGGAGGAAAGGACCCAAAGGGGAAAGAAGGAAGGGAAGGGGACAGGACCCAGGAAAGGGAGAAGCACCGGGGTCTGCTGCTGCCCCTCCATCCCCAGCGCTCCTCGGCGCATCCCGCTGCCCTCCAGCCCCGGCGTTTCCTGAGAGGCACCGGCAGAGGCTCGGGGCTCCGTCCCAGCCCTGCTCCATCCTTCCCGGGGGCTGGGAACGCCTCGGACCGGCCCGGGGCAAGGGGAAGGGGCTGCGAGCGGAGCTCTCCGCATCCCCACGAGCCAAAAGGGCTGGGAAAGCTCCCTGCGGTGCGCCGGGACACGGACCCACACCGCGGCCGGGAACCGCCCTCCCCGCGGCGGCTTCTGGAACCTTCCGGGAGCCCGGAGCGACCCCGCGGGGTTATTGCTGAGCAGAGGCATCATCTTTGTGCTGAAGGGGTGGAGAGAGGCCCCGGCTCCCTCCGAGGTAGAGAAGCTGTCCCCGAGAGGATGGGGAGGGGGTTCCGGGCTCTGCAGGGCCGTGCCACGCTCCAGGAGCGGCACGGGAGCCCCGGGCTCCGAGCCCGCCCCGGCCACAGCGCTCCAGGGCTGGCGAGGCGTCCCTGACGGTTTAGAGTCGGGCGAGGCGGCCCCGACTGATCCCAAACCCGCTCCCGGTTCCGCGGACGGGAGCTCGCAGAGCACCGGCTGCGCCCGGGATCCGCTCCCGAAAACCCCCGGCTTGTCCTGAGGATGGAGGGAACGCGGGGCAGCGACGGCCTGGGCACGACCCAGGGCAGGACCCAGGGCAGGATCCTGAGGCCGCTGCTATTGCCGGGACTGTCCCGGGGACTCCGGGGTGGGCAGAGAGGAGCCCCGGGAGCAAAAGGAGCCCCGGGAGAAAACGGAGCCCCGGGAGAAAACGGAGATCCGGGAGCAGACGGAGCCCCGGGAGCAGACGGAGCCCCGGGAGCAGACGGTGCAAACGGAGCCCCGGGAGCAGACGGAGCCCCGGGAGCGGGCGGGCCGGCGGGGGTTCCGTGCAGGGAACGCTGGCGGGGTCGCTGTCGCTGATGCCACCCGAGGGCAGCGCTCCCTACACGCCCGCGGGAAGCTTCCTGCCGCCCGCCGGCCTGGCCCGCGTCCCGCCGGAGCTGGCGTAGCCCTCGTCGCTGCCCAGGCTCTGCAGGCTGCCGCGCTCGTCCGAGTCGCTGGGGCTGCTGCTGCTCCAGTCCAGCTCGGCCGGCAGGTCGTCCGTGCTCTCCACGTCCACGTCCATCTCTTCTGCCGGGGGGGACACGGGCGGCGTTGGGGCTCCGGCGGGGCCGGGGCTCCCCGCGGCCGCGCCCCGCGCCGGGCTCTCACCTTGCTCCGAGTCGGAGCGCTCGGACGAGAGGCTGGAGCCGATGCTGTCGATGCGGACCCGCTCCATGCCCAGCTTCTCCAGCTGCCGCTGCAGGTGCCGCTGCTCCCGCTGCAGCTGCTCGATCTGGTGCAGGGCTCGGCGCTCCTGGTCCTCCAGCTTCTGCGGGGAACACGGCACCCTGAGCCCGGGATTCCCTCGGGACAGGGCACCCTGAGCCCGGGATTCCCTTAGAGCCACTGGGGACAAGGCACTCTGAGCTCGGGATTCCCTCGGGACAGGGCACACTGAGCCCGGGATTCCCTCAGAGCCACCCAGGACAGGACACTCTGAACTGGGATTCCCTCGGAACCACCCGGGATTCCCGACCCAATCCACCCCGGCTCCCAAGGGGCTCCCATCGTCAGCACGTTTGGGATGTGGATGGAGCCGTAAGGATTCCAACCCTCCCAGTTATCCCAGCCCGATGCTGGCTCTCTCACAGTTATCCCTGTCTGGTGTCAGGGCTCTCCCAGTCATCCCAGCTCAATTCAGAATCGCCCCAGTTACCCCAGCCCCATTCCAGTGCTCCCCCCATCATCCCATCATGATCCCAATGCTCCCCCCATCACCCCAGCCTCATCCCAGCGCTCTCCCAGTAACCCCAGCCCCATCCCAGGGCTCTCCCAGTTACCCCAGTGCTCTCCCAGTTACCCCAGCCCCATCCCAGTGCTCTCCCAGTTACCCCAGCCCCATCCCAGTGCTCTCCCAGTTACCCCAGTGCTCTCCCAGTTACCCCAGCCCCATCCCAGCTCTCTCCCAGTTACTCCAGCCCCATCCCAGTGCTCTCCCAGTTACCCCAGTGCTCTCCCCATCACCCCAGCCCCATCCCAGCCCTCCCACAGCCCATGCCCCATACTGGGATGCCGCTCCCAGCTCCCCCCGGCGCTGCTGGTTCCCGTTGTGGGCTCACCTGGATGTGGAGCCTGGCCCTGGTGAGCAGGCTGAGCGTGGTGTGCCGCCCGGCCGCCGCCCCCAGGGGCACCAGCCCCTTCAGCCTCTCCAGGCACAGCCGGAGCTGGGCGCGCCTGCAAAGGGGGGAACGCGGCTGCCTCGGCTGCCCCAGGGCCGTTCCCACCCCGCTGCCGGGGGGAAACGGGGTGCTGGGGGCTGAGCCCCACCGGGAGCCTCCCCAGCGCCCGCGGGTGCCACAAACTGGGAGAGAATGCGGCCAGGCGAGAGGAAAAGCTCCTGGATAATAAACCCTGCTGGCTGCTGGGGGATCCCAGGCAGCAAAACGCCAATGGCCTCGTGATTCTGGGTGAGAATGCCCACTTTCGGTCATTCTCCTGCATCTCAGGAGGGCTGTGTGAGAGCTGAGGCTGCCCAGGCTAACGCCCAGCTGCACATCCCCTGGGAACGCTTCCTTTCCCTATTTTTGGCAGGAACAGGGTGGTTTTGGACACGAAAGCCCCAGATCCCTGCAGGAGCACTGGCTGCTCTCCAGGGATCCTCCCTCTTCCTGGAACATCTGGGTTTTCTCTGCTGCACCAGGTTAGGGCAGGAGGGAAGCTCCAGCTCCTGGAGGAAATCCCTTTTTCTGCTGGAAAACAGGGATTTCCTTTTTCCCCGGTTTCCCCGTGCCCATTCCCAACCCCGGGATGTAGGTCAGGTCCTTGGCAAGGGGGTGTAACACCCGTCCCTGAACCACCTGATCCCGGGCAGCTCCACAGGGATTTTGCAAGGACCCGCTGGTCTTGTTTGGGATATGCTGGGAGGCAACAGGCATTTCCTCACCCAAAGGGCCTCGGGATGGCAACACAGCCCAAAAAAGTGGGATTTACTCGGGGTAAATCCCAAGCTGCAGCTGGCTCAAAGATGAGCCTGTGAAAAGATAATTTTCGTGGATAAGCAGGGCTGTGGAGATGGAGGTGGTTCCCAACAACCAAGGACAGGGAATGCTTTCATCCTTGGTGTCCTTTATCCCCTTCCTCCCCTCCCAAGCCATCTCAGGATGGTGGGACAGCCCTGGAAAAGCAATAATTGCCCCCAGCCCAGCTCCTGACACCCCCTGGCACTCACCTGTTCTTCTCCATCTCATTGTGTGTCGACCTGGAAGAGAAGGAAGGAGTTATTAACTCCTCTGGCTGATTGGGGATTAGCACTTGGGATTAACGTGTGGGAATTAGCAAAGGCTCCCTGCAAAAGCTGCACACCCAGGGGGCTCCCAGAGCTCCCCACCCAGGCGTGGTGAGTGCCAGCAAAAGGGTCAGGAAAACCATGAAATGGGATTTTAGACCAGGGACTCCTGAGTCTTAGAGCTGGGGGTGGGATCTGCAGCTCATCCCTGTCCCCCAAACCAGGAATATCAATTGGGAAAAGCCTTCCCTCAAAAACAGCACAGAGCAGCTCTGGAGGAGACCCCAAACCCAGGAAACCCACAACAAAGCCCCCTGAAGCTCCCACAGAGCTGGGGAAAGGTGGAAAACAATCCAGGGCTGGCTTTCCCTCCACTGAAACCCAGGAGGAAGCCACAGTCCCAGGGAGGAGCTGCTTCCCTGCCCCGACTTCCCAACACCTCCAGAGGCTCCGCTCCAGTTTGGGGGAAAATGCTGTGATGTGCCTGAAAACATAAACTGGGAATAACCCAGGGGCTGTTGGGATGGGGATGCCCACTGGGATGGCTTGGGGGGTCTGGGAGGGCTGGAAAAACAAGGATGGCACCCAAGGGAAATGAGGGATGTCACCAAAGAGAAATCAAGGATGTCACCAAAGGGAAATCAAGGATGTCACCAAAGGGAACATGAGGGATATCACCAAAAAGAAACCAGGGATGGCACCAAAGGGAAAGGCAGGGATGTGACCAAAGGGAAAGCAGGGATTGACCAAAGGGAAATGAGGGATGTCACCAAAGGGAAAGGCAGGGATGTGACCAAAGGGAAAGCAGGGATAGCACCAAAGGGAACATGAGGGATGTCACCAAAGGGAAATCAAGGATGTCACCAAAGGGAAAGCAGGGATGTCACCCAAAGGGAAAGCAGGGATGCCCCCACCACAGCAGTGGGAGATGCTCTCCAAGGTCTCCTTCCCTTCTCCAGCCTTTCCTGCTGGATCACCCCGCTCCAGTGGCTTTTGGGCCCCATCTCCCCCGTCCCCAGAATTGTCCCATCCGAGCAGAGACATTTTCCACCCCAGGGGGATTCTCCTGGCATGCTGGAAGGGCTCAGCTCCTGGGCAGGGTCTCCTTTCCTTTTCTCCCTGGATAAACATTTCACACCCAGCCCTTTACCCAGGGCCTGCCATGGGCTGCAGCTTTATGAGTTTGTTCCTTCATTCTAAATTATCCAAACACTTCCTGAGCACAGGTACAGACAGGGGTGAAGCTCCCATCACCTCCACAACCACTAATCACAAATCCATCCTCTTTTCTGCCTGGATCCTTAGTGGAATGGCTCCTTTCTCTTCAGGACTTGCATTCACCATCACCAATATTTAGAGGGGAAAAAAAAATGAACGGACTGATGGATTTAAACTCGGGATAAATCAAACAGAGACAGAGGGGCCGGCAGCCTCACCACGGGGCAGGTGGAGCTCCCACATCCTCTCCCCACGGAGCCACTGGTTTGGGTTCCCAGCACTCTGAACCAGCTTTCCCTTCGGAATGCGTTGTTTTATTGCCGAGAACCCCAACGGGCTGACCCAGAGGGAACCTGCAGTGAATCCGGGCGGGACAAACCCCCGAGCCCGCGGGATTCCGCCCCCCGAGGGGCTCCCGAGCCCGGCCCGGCCCCGGGGCACCGGGGAACCGCGGGCTGCCAAAGGTCGGGGCGGCGGCGCCGCGCGGGCGGGAGCGCTCCCGAGCAGGAAGAGGTGACAGGTGAGCAGGAAGAGGGGACAGGTGAGCAGGAAGAGGGGACAGGTGTGCTGCCACCAGCACCTGGCACCTCCCTGGCACCCGGGGACGTGTCGGGATGTGCTGCTGTGCGGGGCTGGGGACGCGGCCCGGAGCCGCGAGCAGCTGAGGGTCGGGGATTGCAGGGGGGCCGTGGAGGCTCCGGGTGTGGGGCTTGCCCCGGAATTCAGCGTGGGTTCTGCAGCTCGGAGAGGATTGAAACCAGCGGGGAGCAGGGACAGAGGGAGCGGGGCAGGCTCTGGGGTGACTCAGGAGGCGACAGGAGGGTCCCCCCAGCCCTGCCCGGCCCGGTGACAGCGGCAGCTCTCCGGGCCGGTCCCCCCGGGACAGGAAGGTGCCACCCACGGTGTCACACCCGCTGACAGGTGGACTTTGGTGACAGCAGAGCCGCACCCAGCGCTGTCACACACCCAGCGACAACAGGAGCTGCCCGAGCCGGGTCAGCCCATGGCAGCGGGGTCTGTCACACACACCGGGGACGGGAGGGTGCCCCCGGCACGGTGACACCCCCGGGACGGCCCCACCGGAGCCCGGGTTACCGGGGAACCGGCCCGGCCCGGGACAGCGGGGACAGGAGCCCCGGGCCCGGGGCACGCCTGGGCACAGGGGGACCGGCAGGCACCGTGACAGGAGGGTGCCCCGGGCCTGCCGCACCCCCGGTGACAGCGGCAGCGGGGCGGTGACCCCGGGCCGGCCCGGGAGCAGCGGCCTGACCGGACACGGAACCCAGCGGGCCCGTCCCCCGCCCGGAGCCAGCGGGGACACCCCGGGCCGGGCGGGGCCGCGCGGGGCCGGAGCTGCCCCGGCCGGGCCCCACAACGGCCGGGCCCCTCCGGGCCGGTCCCCCCGCCCCGCCCGGTGCCGCCGTCACCTGCCGCCGCCGCCGCTCCTCCGGGCCTTGGCGCGGCGCCGTGGGGCCTCGCCGTCCTTCCCGCCGGGCCACAGCGAGGCGTAACCGTGCTCGGCTTCTGCGGAGACACAACGGCGGGCGCGGGTCACGGCGGGGCCTGGCCGGGGGCGCCGCCGGGGGCACCGCGGGGGCGGCGCGGGGGGTACCTCGCTCCCGCCGCTCCAGGAACTCGGCGGCCTCCAGCAGCATCTGGATGCCGAGGCGGGGGGGGGCGGCCATGGCGGGGCCGGGACGGGCCGCGACCGGCGGCGGGGGGGGAGCGGCGGCCTCTGCCCGCCCCGAGCGCCGCTCCGCCAGACCCCGCGCGCGCCACGCCCCCGGCGCCGCTCATTGGCGGAGGCCGGGACAGGCCCCGCCCGGCCCCGCCGCTGATTGGAGGATGAGGAGGAGGCCCCGCCCTGAGCCTCCACGAGCGGCGGAGAGGGAGCGTGGCCGCGCCTGAGGACACGCCCTCCGCTCGCTGCTATTGGACGAGAGCGCCACGCCCTCCTGCCATTGGCCCGACCCTCCCCGGCGGCGCCCCGCCCACACGACCGGCCCCGCCCCGCTGGCCGCACGCTCTGCCCTGACTCACTTCCTGCCGCTCAGCCAATGGCGAGGCCGGACGGGGGAGGGGGCGGGGCCTCGGGTACGTCGGGCAACGTAAGCACGGACAGGGACAGAGACCCCCGGGATGGGGACAGGGACAGAGACCGAGACCCTCGGGATGGGGACAGGGACACCCAGAAAGGGACCCCCGGGATGGGGACAGGGACAGAGACCGAGACCCCCGGGATAGGGACAGAGACCCCTGGGATGGGGCAGAGACCCCCGGGATGGGGAGAGGGAGAGGGACAGGGACCACCGGGATGGGGACAGGGAGAGGGACAAGGATCCCCGGGATGGGGACAGGGACAGAGACCGAGACCCTCGGGATGGGGACAGGGACCTCCAGGATGGGGACAGGAAGAGGGACAGGGACCCCCGGGATGGGGACAGGGACACCCAGAAAGGGACCCCCGGGATGGGGACAAGGACCCCAGGATGGGGACAGGGAGAGGGACAGGGACCCCCGGCATGGGGACAGGGACACCCAGAAAGGGACCCCCGGGATGGGGACAGGGACCACCGGACACGGACACTCGGGATGGGGACAGAGATCCTCTGGGCAGGGTCCCCCTGTGTAGGGACCCCCAAATCAATAACCACCCTCGACCCCAGGCAGGGCTCAGAGCACCCAAATCCCCTCCCAAAACCCAGAGCACCCCAATCCCACTGCCCCCATGTGGGCTCCCCAAAATCCGTGTCAACCCCACGGATTTGTGGGGGGCGGGGGAATGCAGGCCCTGCTTTATCTCTGAATTATAAAAATTGAAGGAAAAATACATCTGGGGTTTTATTAACAGGGAAACAAACCAAAACTGGGGAAAACACAGCAAAAATCCCAGCCAGAAACTGACCTTTGTTGTAAAAAAAACCAACAAACAAATATCTGGGAACTCTGGCGGGTCTGGGTGTGGGATTTGTTGGGAATAACCCAAATTCCACCGGAATCCAGCACGGGAGCCACCCAGGAGAGTGCAGGGAAGAGAAATCCTTCTGTGGTGGGAGCCTGTGCCAGCGTCAGGCGATGAAATCCAGGGGCCTGTTGAATCCTCCTTTCCTGTTCATGTACTGCCTGGGCGAGGATGGAGCCAGAGTCAGCCCCAAATCTGGGGAAATTGGGACAAAAACGCCCAGGGGAGGCACAGGGAACCCACATGGGAACCCAATTCCCCGGGGATTTGAGCAAAAGCAGGGCAGGAAGGCTGCCAGCGAGGAGCTGCTGCAAAGGAGCCCAGGTGCCAGCAGAAAGGGAGCAGAATTGACAGTCTGGGTGGTTTTTGGGGACAAAGCAGGCGAGCAGTGTCACTTCCCTCTGCTCTGATCCCTGCTGGGCACATCCCAGCTGTTCCTAAGGTGCTCCTCACTCCTCATCCTCCTGATTTCCCCATTCCCAGGGGGATCTGGAGAGCTCTCACCTCTGCTTCTGAGTCTAAACCTCACCAAATTTCCATTTTCCCTGGAAGCTGGATCAGGGTGAGACCGTGGCCACAGCTACCTCACCAAACCAACTCCTCTCTCCATCCCAAAGCAGGGGACACACACCTGTACTTCCTCTTCTGGGACACGTTGATGGCGTAGGCATTGGCAGCACCATCCACCTTCTTGCCCTGAGGAGAAACGCCCCAAAATCCCATGGATTACCCCCAAGCAGGGCAGCTGGCACCGCAGAGCCCGTGGAGCGGCGCTCACCTTGGTGGTATCAAAGGAGGCAAAACCCATCATCTTCATCATCTCGATCTCCTCCTCTGTCTTGCCCTGCAAGTCTTCCTCTGGGGGGAGAAAATCGGGGACTGAGCAAACACGGATGTTGGGATGCCCAAAAATCCAGGTGTCCCTGGGCTGGTCCTGGCCCCAGGGGGCACCTAGGAGTGCTCCAAGAGGGAGATCCCCCCTCACCTGTGATCTGCCGCTCCTTCTTGGAGTCCTTGAGCTCCTTCTTCTCCTCATCCCGGCGCTCCTTGGGCCGTGCTGGTGACGAGGAGCTGGAGCGGTGCCGGCGTGGAGACCTGCTGGGGCGCAGAGCTGGGGCTGCAATTCCCACCTGGAATACCCACCTGGAGCTCCTGCTGTCCCCAGGTCACCCAGGGTGCCCTCACCGAGCTGTGCCCACCCCATGCTGGTGTCCCTGCCCTCACCTGGATCATCCCTACCATCAGCTGGACAATCCCCACCATCACCTGGATCATCCCTGATATTACCTGGATGTCCCTGCCATCACCTGGATCATCCCAAACATCATCCTGGATGTCCCTGCCCTCACCTGGATCATCCCTACCCTCACCTAGATGTCTCTCCCCTCACCTGATCCATCCCTGTCATCACCTGGATGCCCCTGCCCCTCACCTGGATCATCCCTGATATCACCTGAATGTCCCTGCCATCACTTGGATGGTCCCTGACATCACCTGGATGTCCCCACCCTCACCTGGACGGTCCCTGCCCTCACCTGGATCGCCTCCGGTGCGGGGAGCGGGAGCGGCTCCTCCTCCTGTCCCTGTCCCGGGACCGCGATCGCTCCCGCCGCCGCCGGTCCCTGTCCCGGGACGTGGAGCGCGAGCGCCGCCGCTCTGCCCGGGGAAGGCAGGCTCAGCTGCTGCTCCCTGCCCGCTTCCCAAAGGGAATCCCACAGGAACCCCGGCACCGAGCCGGGAGTGCCCTTCCCACCCTGCTCAGGGACCCATGGACACCCGCAGGAGGGAGGGAGCAGCAGGACAAATCTCCAGATGGAGCGGGGGCAATGATCCGGGGGGAATCACCCGGGGGGATCAGCCAGGAGGGGAGGGAGGATGGTCCCAAAAACCGGAGCCAGGTGGAGAGGGGGTGATGGTCCCAAAAACCGGAGCCAGGTGGAGAGGGGTGGGAGGGAGTGATGGTCCCAAAAACCTGAGCAAGGTGGAGAGGGAGTGATGGTCCCAAAAACCTGAGAAAGGCAGAGAGGGGTGGGAGGAAAGGAAGAGAAGGAGAGGAGGAGATAAGGATGGGGAGGGGGCGAAGAAGGAAAAGGAGAGGAGGAAGAGGAAAAGAGGAGGAGGAGAAGGAAGCAGAGAAGAAGAAGAGGAATAGAGAAGGACGAGAAGGAAGAGGAGGATGAGGGAGGCAGTCTCTGCTCTCCCCCAGAGCGAGGAACCAGGGCCTCCCCGCCCTGGGGGTCTCAATCCCCCCTACCCCGGCCCTTCCACCCCGATCTCCCCACGCCCCGGGCTCCCCCTGACCTCCCCGGCCATTCCCATCCCTCCCCGGCTCCCTCCAGTGCCCCGGTGCCTGCTCACCCCGCCGCGGCGGTGACCGGGAGCGGCTGCGGCCCATGGCCGCCCCTCAGCCCCGCGCTGCTGCTCCCACGGCGCCGCCGGCCCGAGGGACCCGGCCTGAGGGGAGCCGGAGAGGACCCGGCCTGAGGGGAGCGGGCCCGAGGGACCCGGCTGAGGGGAGCCGGCTAAGGGAAGCCGGCCTGAGGGGAGCGGGCCCGAGGGACCCGGCTGAGGGGAACGGGATGAAGGGACCCGGCTGAGGGGAGCCGGCTAAGGGGAGCCGGCTAAGGGGAGCCGGCCTGAGGGGATCGGGATGAAGGGACCCAGCTGAGGGGAGCCGGCTAAGGGGAGCCGGCCTGAGGGGAGCCGGCCGGCGGGGCCGGTCAGCACCGCATCGGGCCGCACCGGGCCGGTCCCGCCGCTCGCCCCGAGAGCCCGCCCAGGCCGGAACGAGAGGGGAGAGCCGGGAGGAAGAGGAGGGCTGGGAGGAGGAGAGGGCAGGAAGGGGAGGGGAGGAAGGCGGGGCCCTTACCGTCACCCGGCCCGGCCCTTCCCGGTACCTGTCCCGAGCGTGTCGGCTTCGGTGGTGGGGGCTTCACGGGGGGCTTCTGTGAGAAGCTGCTGGAACCTTCGCGGTGTCAGCACACCCATTCCCACCTCCACCCTGTCCCATCCCAGTCCCAATCCCCATTTCATTCCCATTCGCCCCTCCATCCCCATCCCATCCCACTTCCACCCCTGAGGCTCCGAGCGCTGCCGGGTGCCAAACACGGGGTTTATTTATTCATTTATTTACACCGGCGTTCCACGCGCTCCCGGCCGCGATTGTCACACGCGGGGGGACAGGGACAGGGACGTGCCGCCCCCCGGTGCCGTGCCGGGGCTCCAAATCCGCCCTCGTGCCCCAGTGGGCAGCGAGGCGCTGAGCCCAGCGGGACTCGCCCGGCCCCGCTGCCTCGGTGGGATCAGCCTCTCTTTTCCAGCGGGGGTGCGGGTGTGGAGAGCTCGGATCGGGGATTTGCTTTGCCCTGAGCCTTGCTGGAGCGAGGGGAGGGGGAGGCAGGGAGGTGGGCTGGGGGGAGCACCCGAGGGGTGGTCCTGGGATATGATATTGGCTCTGTTTACTTCCATCATGGTGATGATGATGGCACTGGAGCCTTCGTCCCTTTCTACCTGGAATTTCATGGGTGAGGAGGCCAACCCTGGGGTCCCCTGCAAAGCCAGTGGCCCTTGGGAAAAGGGGTGACAAAAGCCCCGAGGACGGAGCCTTGGGGAGAAAAGGGGCGACAAAAGCCCCAGGGACAGAGCCTTGGGGAGAAAAGGGGTGACAAAAGCCCCAGGGACAGAGCCTTGGGGAAAAAAGGGGTGACAAAAACCCCAGGGACAGAAGCTTGGGGAGAAAATGGGTGACAAAAGCCCCAGGGACAGAGCCTTGGGGAGAAAAGGGGTGACCAAGGCCCTGGGGACACACCTTCAGGGACAAAACCTCTGGGGGAGCCCCCGGGTTGGGCTGGGGGTGTGGCAGTGCTGTCATTCAGGAATTGCCCCCAGGTGTGACAGTGCTACCCCAGGGAGGTGACACGGCTGTCCCTGCAGGCTCTGCTGCCCTGGGTCACCCGGGTGACAAAAACGGCCTCAAAGAGCCTCAGAATCAGTGGCAGTGAGGAGCAGCCCCCGCAGTGGCAGGGTTTGGGGGCTCAGCGTGTCCCCCATCCTGCAGGGGTGGCATGGGGACCTCTGGGGGGGACACTGGGCAGGGCAAAAGGCTCTCCCCAAACTCCAGGAACCCAAGATCCCTACCTGGGTTCTCCCTGCTGCTTCCACCCCCTATTCCATGGGGTTCCTGCCCTTCCAGAGGGGATCCAACCCCCAGGAGCCATCTCACAGCAGGGAAAGGGTTTGGAACCACAGTGATGGCACATGGGGAAGCCCTGCTGGGCTGGGGGAGCCCCAAACGGGGGGTTCAGGGCTGTTCCAGACCTCCATGGACACAGCAAGGCTCAGGGCGAGCCCCCCGGGACAGGGGGAGGATTTGGGGCTGATCCCGGTGGTTTATGCCCCAATCCCAGCGCTGGAAGGGCTGTGGGGAGCACGGGCGGGAGGCTGCAACGCTGGGAGGGAAGGGAACGCCAGGAAGGACGGAACGTGTGCTGGGAATTCCAGAGCTGGGAAAAGCAGGGGGCCGGCGCGGCCGGGGTCGCTGTGAGCTGGCAGCGTGTGTTCATCCCGAAGTAGCACTTAGTGAGTGAGCTTTGCTCAGTTTTTAAATAACACAGACAATTCCCGGAGGGGCGTGGGGTGTTTTTTTTCCCTATTTTCCCAGGTGCGGGTCGTGCAGTGAGGTGGGGGCTTTTCCAGCGGTGGGAAATCCTGCTGCTCTTCCTTGGGTGGGCAAAACACGGGCTGGGGGTACCAGGAGAAGGGGATGGAAGTGGTTCATGAGCCCACGGAGAGGAAGGTTTACGATCCAGGGAGGAAAAACCTCATCTCCTCCCTCAGGAAAAGCGATCCCGTTCTCCTGGCGAAGCGATGGACAGTTTTCCCTGGGGGTGAAGCCGGCGCCATTCCAGCAGAGGTGAAACAGAAGGTGAAGAGAATAACCACGAAACACCCTTTTCTTCCTCAAACCAAGCAGCTCTGGGCCCTGGTGGGACAGTGCAGCCCTCGGTGGTGGGAAGGGCCGGGGCCCAGGAGGGACAGGGGCAGGGAGGTGCAGCGGGAGCTTCCCCAGACGGGAGCACGGTCTCTCTGAGCTCGGTGACAGCCCCCAGAGCGGGGGACGAGGTGCCGCGTTCCCGGGTCTCGGCGGGCCCCAGGGACACTCAGGATTCGATCTTTTCCTTCTTTTTGCCTTTTTTCAGGAAGGACGGGGTCCGGAATTTCTTCTTCTTTTTGGAGGGTGATTTGGAGGGCGAACCGTCGGGGGACACGGGGTTGCTGGTCACTGTCTCCTTCTCCTTGGGGGTGTCCTGGTCGGCGTTGGTGGTTGTCCGGTCTGTCCCCCCTTTGCCAAGGTTCTCCTCGGTGCTTTGCTCCTCGTCCTTCCCGTTCACCGCCACCGGTGGCTCCTTCTTGGCAGTGGAATCAGGGGGGGCTTGGCCACCATCGGCCTTCTTGTCACCTTGGGGAGAGGGAACAGGGGATTGGGGCTGCAGCACCGCTGTTCTGGGGGGTTTGTCCCCCCAGATGTGCCGTGGGGCCTGGGCAGGAGCAGGATTTGGGCTCCCCGAGAGGAGAAGGTTGGGATTTGATCCTGTCCTGCCGCAGGCACCGCGCCCCGAGCCCCCCGAGCCGCCCCCTCCCTGCGGGACAAGCGATGTGGGATGGAGAGCCGGGAAGAGGCAGCAGGAGAAGCAGGAAGCGACACCAGGGAGGGAGGGAGGGGTCCCCAGGGGTTCCTAAGGGATTTCCATGGACCGAAGATCCCCCCGAGCCCCTGTCCCTCTGTCCCTCGTCCGTCCGGGGTGGCCTCTCCGTACTTACTACGGCGCCAGGGATTCAGGGATAACTCCTTGGGTGACAGGCACACGGGGAGGAAAGAGAAAGGAGACGTTGTGGAGACACACAGACAGACAGACGGACACCACGAGACACCATGGCAGAGCCAGCAGCCCCGAGCCGCGCCCCGGCACCCGCCGTGGGTGGGAGCAGTGGGGACCGGGCTGGGGGACAGCGCTGTCCCCTGCGCCCCACAGAGCCACCACTCGCGTCCTCCTGCCACGCGCCCCTCGGCCCCTCCGGAGCGGGGTGGCAGCGCGGGGTGGCACGAGGTGACAGCCACAGCCGCCCTGGTGCCCCCGCTCCCGCTGCTCGCTGGGACCCCAGCCCCATTTCCTCGTTTCGGGGTGCTCGTCACCCCACTCACCCTCCGTGGGCGCCGGGGGCGCCGGGGGCTCCGGCGGGGGTGGCTCTAGGGGGGGAGCCCCGCTGTCCTCCGCGGCCGCGTCCTTCTCGCCTGCCACAGAGAGACACGCTGGCCTCGGTGCCCTCGGCGCCACCCGCGGCCCTGGGGGCTCCGGGGGTCCCTCCTACCCTGCAGGCGCTTCTTCCTCTCCACCTCCTGCTTGTACTCCTCCAGCTCCTGGTCCGTCAGCTGGCTGAAGGGGTTGGGGGGCTCCGGCTCGGGGGGAGCCTCCTGCCCGCCCTCCTTGGCCTCTGCGTCCCCCAGGTGGCTCTCGGTGGACTGGAACAGAGCCACAGAGCGGTGTCACCTTCCTGGGGCAGTGTCAAACCCCTCCCAGGGAGATGGGGACATGAGGTGACACGGGGCTGAGGACACAGGGACGGGGGGGACACAGGGTGACACAGGTGACAAAAGGTGACATGTGCCATACGGGGCTGCGGCTGGTCTCGGCGATGACGCTGGCCAGCAGCTGCGACTGGGGCCCGGCTGATTTCACGTCCTGGCGGTTTTGCTCGCGGATCTGTGGGGAAGGACAGAGCTGAATCCCCTCCAGGGACAGGGCTGAGCCCCCCGAGACCCCCCTGTCCCCCTGCCCACCTTGTTGCGCATCTCCAGCACCTCCTGCGGGTCCGTGTAGAGCGGCACAAACTGGTTGGGGTTCTCGATGCGGATCGGGGTCCCGCTGCTGCCCTTCTCCACCTCGTCTGCCCGCAGCCACTGCAAACCCAGGAATGGTGTTTGGGGACAAGGAGACCCCCAGGATGGAAGGGAGACCCCAACAAATGCAACTTGTATAGAGGGGGGAGGCCCGATGTAGGGGGGAAGCACCATAAGTGCAGGGAGACCCCAATAAACAGCAAAGAAGGAGGACCTGACTACATGCATCATGCATAGAAGGAGGAAGACTCCAAAACAAGTTCCCCAATAATAGAGGGAGACCCCAATAAATGCATCTTGCATAGAGGTGGACCCCAATAAATGACGAGACCCTAATAAACGTGTCATGCATAGAGGAAAGCCCCAGTAAATGAGAAGACCCCAATAAATGCATCTTGCATAGAAGGAAGGCCTCAGTAAATGAGGACACACCAATAAATGCATCTTGCACAGAGTGAAGACCCCGATAAAGCCAATAGCACTCGGCCCCACAAGAATGGGGCGGCGATATTCCAAAATAACCATTATTTCAGGACGCAGGAGGTCCCCAGGCCTCCCTGCACCCCAGATTTTCGCGGGGTCCATCCCAGGACCCCCTCCACCTCCCTGTCCGTCCATGCCCCGGCCCCCGTGCCCCTCACCGTGGTCTTTGTCCTCTGGGCACCGGCGCCGCCCTGCTCCTCGGCCAGGCTGACGCGGGTGTAGGTGTTGGGCGTGTTGAGCCACCGCGTCTTCTCCTTCTGCTGCTTGTGGGCGTGCTGGCGCAGGGCGGGGGTCCCGGCCGGCTCCTCCTCGAACACGAAGGCCGTGACAGTGGCGGGGATCAGCACGTCGCTCTTGGGCTTGCTCTTCTCCTGCACGAACGGGTAGCGGTACGTGTAGCCCGTGCGGTAGCCCTGGGGAGGCAGGGAGAGGGGAGTCAGCACATAGGGCAAACCGAGGGTTAGGAGAATGTTTTTGTCTCATAAATTATTATAAAGAAAATGATTTATGAGTTCCCATCAACAAGAAGTAGAGGAATGAGAAAACAGCTAGTGCAGTAACCTATTTCAGTGAAAGAACCTTTTGCACCTGCATAAACTATAGGTCAGTGGACAAGATATGTAAAATTATCTAAAAAGAAAAGAGAAAATATTATTATATTCGCTAGCCCATACCAAGCACTGAACTGGGTTTCACTGCGCTGCTGACCAGTTAGGCTTAACCCAGTGCACTCTGACATTTATATATAAATACACATTTTTATATATAAATATAAACATATTTCAAATAAATATATTTTGTGTAAATATAAATATAAATATATAAATAGATAAATATACATATAACTATAAACATATAAAGATATAGTTAATATATTTATATAAATAAATAATACATAGAAATACATAATCTATAAATATATATTTACATATAAAAATAAAAATATAAATTTTATATATAAATAAAATATATTTATATATTAAAATATATAAGTATATAAATATATTAAAATATATAAGTATATAAATATATTAAAATATATAAGTATATAAGTATATAAATATATACAAATAAAAAGAAACATTTAATATATATAAATATATTAAAATATATAAATATATTTATATGCAAATATAAATATAAATATATTTCATAAATCTCTATAAGTAAATATATTTTACAAATATATAAACAAATATATAAAAATATAAATAAATATGTAATATATTTATATATAAATATATAAAAATATATAAAAATATATACTCTGAATAGAGCAGGAGCCTTTCCTCTGTGAAGAAACCGAGCCCCTGACAAACTCCGCTTTATCCCCGCCCATTTCGGGGCTCACCAGGTTGTCCAGCATCCTCATGAGCGCCTCGAACTCGTGCTCGCCCAGGCGGCTCTTGTGCAGCGGCCCGAAGGCGGCCCCGGCGCGGCGCACGGCGCTCAGCCCCTGCGGGCCGCGCTGCGGCTGCGGCGCCCGCTCCAGCACGATCAGGTTCTGCGCGCCGCCCGCGCTGGCCAGCGCCGACACCTGCGGGCACCGGGCACGGCTGGGCGGGGGCGGCGCGGGACGGGGCCGCGGGCATCCCCGGGGGGAATGGGGCTGGGAGATGGGACATGGGGGGAAATGGGGCTGGGAGATGGGACATGGGGGATGGAATGGGGCTGGGAGATTGGACATGGGGGATGGAATGGGGCTGGGAGATGGGGGGAAATGGGGCTGGGACGTGGGGAAATGGAGCTGGGAGATGGGACATGGGGGGAAATGGAGCTGGGAGATGGGACATGGGGGGAAATGGGGATGGAATGGGGCTGAGAGTGGCACAAATCGGGGCATGGGGATGGAAATGAGGCGCAAACACCTGGCACAGCTCAGGGCACAGGGGAAGAACAGGCCTGAGAGCTGGCACAGCTCAGGGCATAGGGATGGGACACTGGAGGGGCTGAGAGCTGGCACAGGTCTGGGCATGGAGGGGGAAATGAGGGGCTCAGATCTGGCCCAGCTCAGTGTATAAGGATGGAAATGAGGGGCAGACACCTGAAACAGCTCATGCCATGCTCCTGGGCACTCTGGCTGAGCCCAGACTGGCATATCTCAGTGTATAAGGATGGAAATGAGAGGCAGACACCTGGCCCAGCTCATGTCATGCTCCTGGGGCACCCGGGCTGACCCGAGCCTGCCCCAGCTCCGTGCCCGGCCCCAGCCCAGCCCAGCCCCGCGCTCACCTGCACCTCGCAGGCCGCCTGCAGGTGGAAGATGCTGTAGAAAGCCTCCTCGGCCGTGTCGCCCAGCGCCAGCACGCCGTGGTTCCGCAGCACCAGGATCTGCCGCGGGATGTCAGCGGGGCAGGGCGGGGCCGCCCCCGCGCCCCCCCAGGTGCGCGCTCACCTTGCAGGTGGGCCCGAGGCACTTCTGGAGCTCCACGCGGTCCGCCTCGTCCTCCACCTCCCCGCGGAAATCGAAGTAGGCGACGTCCCCCAGGAGAAGGGCGGCGCGGGAGATGGGCAGGAGCCCGCAGCGCATGGCCGAGACCTGGGCACGGGGAGGGACAGGGCAGGGGGCCGAGGAACACCCACCAGCCCCAAAAACACCCACAGCCCCAAAAACCACCAACAACCCAAAAAACCAACAACCAAAACCCCCACCATCAGCCCCCCAAAAACCCCCCAAAAAACCCTTCCACCCCCCGAAATTCCCCCCAAACCCAACCTCCCCCAAAAACCCCCAGTTCTCCTAACTCACAAGACCCAAACCCAACATCCCCTAAAAATCTCAACATTCCCCTAACTCCCAAGCTCCCAAATCCAACCTCCCACAAAAACCCCCAAGTTTCCATAACTCCCGAGACCCAAATCCAACCTCCCCAAAAAACCCCCCACATTCCCCTAACTCCATAGCCCCCCAAATCCTGCCCAAACCCAACATCCCCTAAAAATCTCCACATTCCCCCAACTCCCACGCCCCCCAAATCCGCCCTAAGCACCCCCATGTTCCCATAACTCCCAAGCCCCCAAATCCCCCCAAACCCAACCTCCCCCAAATGCTGCCACATTCTCCTCACTCTGGAGCCCCCGAATCCCCCCAAACCCCATCTCCCCCGAGCTCCCCTGCCTCCCAAGCCCCCAGTCCCCCCAAACCCCATCTCCCCCAAGCTCCCCTGCCTCCCAAGCCCCCAGTCCCCTCTCCCATCCCGCTCCCCGCGTACGGCAGCCGCGGCTGGGGTGTGCAGCCGCACGATGCAGCGGATGTCGGGGCGCGCCGCGTAGATGGCGGCGTGGAGGCTGAAGCTGCGGGCGTCGGGGGCGAAGCCGGTGCTGCCCTGCTCCACCACGGCCCCCAGCACGTTCACCTTCACCTGGGGGGCGCGGGGGGCTCAGGGGGCTGCTCACACCCCGGCAGCCCCGCGGTTGTGGGGTGTTGTTAATTTTGGGGGGCTCACCAGGCTGGCCGCTGTCACCTCGCTGCACGCCAGCCCCTGCGGGGCCACCAAGAAGTGCTCCTGCTCCTTGCTGACCCGCAGCTGCCGCGGGGGACGGGGTGGGGTGAGAAACAGCCCAGAGAAATCCCAAAACGGGCATCCCCCGAAAGACCCCCACTGCTCTGATCGCCCCTAAACCGTGAGAGAGGCTCCGAAACTGCCCCCCAAACCAACACCCCGAAGGAGCCCAATAACAACCCCAAAACCCCCCAAAATAATGATCCATGAACCCTCAAAGTCCCAACCCACCTCACATGTCCAGAACCCCACAAACTGCCCCCCAAAATAACGACCCAAAAACCCTCAAAGTCCCAACCCACCTCAAATGTCCAGAAACTCTTAGACCCCAAAAATAACAACCCACAAACACTCAAGGCAACCCCAAATCCCCCCAAAACAACCCCCAAATCCCCTATTTTTTTTGTTTTTTGGGGTGCTCACAGTGACGGCAGCATGTCCCAGCTGTGCCCAGCTGTACAGGTCCAGCAGGTACCAAAAGCCCTCTGAACCTCCAAAACAACCCCAAATCTGCCCAAAACACCCCCAAATGGCCCCAGTACAACCCCAAATCCCCTATTTTTTTTGTTTTTTGGGTGCTCACGGTGACAGCAGCGTGTCCCAGCTGTGCCCAGCCGTACAGGTCCAGCAGCCGGTGGATGCTGCCCACCTTGCAGCGCATCAGCCGCTCGCCCTTGGCCAGGGCCGGCCCCTCTGTCCCATGCAGGTCATTGATAGGGGTGACCGACGCCAGCCCTGCGGATTGGGGACCCCCCGTCAGCCGTGGGACTCCCCAAATCACGGGGGGTTCAGCGGGGGAAGCGGGTTGTGGGATGGGTTTGGTGGCTGGCAGGGTTTGGCGGATCCAAAGGTTTGCTGGACATCAAGGTTTGGTGGCCACAAAAGATTTGGGGGTCCCCGAGGCATCAAAGGTTTGGTGGTCCCCCAGATTTGATGGCCCCAAAAATTTGGTGGGGCTCAATGGTTTTGGAGGATCCTGGGGTTTGGTGGCACCCCAAGATCCCAAAGAGTTGATGATTATAAAGGTTTGGGAGTCCCCAGGATCTCAAAAGTTTAGGGTCCCCCAAATTTTGGTGGTCTCAAAGGTTTGATGACCCTAAATATTTTTGGCACCCACAAGGTCACAAAGGCTTGGTGGTCTCAAAGATTTCATCACCCCAAAGGTTTTTGAGGCCCTCAGATCCCAAAGCTTGGTGGTCCCAAAGCCCCTGAAGGTCCCAAATGTTTTGGTGAGATTTGGAGGTTCCAAGGTTGCCCAGATTTGGTGTCCCCGCAGGTTTTGGGGTTTTTCCCACCCCGCCCCTGGTCCCCAGAGGGCCCCATGTACCCATGGGCGAGGTGGGCAGGGTGGCAGGGGACGTGGTGGCCATGAAGTCGGCAATCTGCCGCAGCGCCCACACGTGTGACGAGTTGTTCCCCTTCTTCATCTGCTCCTGGATCAGGCTCTCCAGCTCCTCCCGGAAGGACTGTGGGGACAGGGTGACAATGGGCTGGGTGGCACTGCTGGGGACATCGGGGCCGGGGCTGCACCGCTGGCTCGGTGGCACAGTGGTGGCAGCAGGGACAGCATTGCCAGCTTGGTGCCACAGAGGTGATGGTGGCACCACCAGCTTGGTGGTGGCACTGGCAGTTTGGTGTCAGGGACACCATTGCCCTGGTGGTGTGGCAGTGGTGGCACTGCCAGCTTGGTGACACGGGGATGGTGACACCACCAGCTTGGTGACACGGTGAGGGTGGCACTGCTGACTTGGTGGCTCACCGGCGGTGCCAGCATCACCAGCTTGGTGGCAGCAACACTGCCAGCTGTGTGCCACAGAGGTGATGGTGGCAGCACCGGATTGGTGGCACTATGACAGTGGCATCGCCACCCTGGCGTCGGTGTCACCGCTGCCTTGCTGGCACGGTGGCACTGCCAGGTGGGGACACCGTGTGGTGACATCCATGAGCTTGGGGACAACAAAGGACGGGGTTGGCGACAGGAGGGACGGGATTTGCGCTGGGTGGGGACAGAAGAGGTTGGGGACACGAAGAAGGGGTCTGGGGACAGGCGGGACGGGGCTGGGGACAGAAGGTAAGGATTGGGGGATGTAAAGGAAGAGGTTGGGGACAGGTCGATGGGGCTGGGGACAGGTGGGACGGGGCTAGGGACACACAGGACAGAGTTGGGGACAGGTGGAATGGGGGTGAGGAAAGGAGGAATGGGTTTGGGGGACAGGTAGATGGGGTTGGGGACAGGTAGATGGGGTGAGGACACACGGGAAGGGGCTGGGGACACACGGATGGGGTTGGGGACAGCAGGAACGGGGCTGGGGACACACACGTGGGATTGGGGACACACACACGGGGCTGGGGACACACGGCACGGGGCCGGGGCTCACCGGGCTCTGCAGGATCATCGTCACCCGCTTCTTCTGCTCCATCAGGTTGAAGTCCTGGCGCAGGTCCCCGGCCCCGCCCCGCGCCCGCAGGAACTCGGGCTCCTCCTGGGGGGCACAGCGCGGCCCCGGGGCGGGGGGCTCGGGCAGGGGCTCGGGGCTGGCGGCCGTGCTCATCCTGGGGACACGCGGGGACACCGGGGGGACACACGGCGTCAGAGCCCCGGTACAGATTGGGCACAAAGCACCGAAAACACGGAGCGGCTGCGGCCCGCTGATAAGGACACAGGGGAACCGCCCTGCCCGGGCGAGGGGACAGCGGGGGGACACCGGGAGGGGACAGCGGGCAGGCTGGGGGACAGCGCGGAGAGGGCTGAGAACGGGCGGGGACGGCGCTGAGAACGCGCACAGCTCGGCGCATCTAAGGATGCTCCCCCAAATTGGGGTCACCCACAATGGGGGGCTCGGCCCCACTCTGCTGTCACATGGGGGGAGGCTGCGGCCCCACCGACCCCAAAACAGCCCCAATAAGAACCCAAAGGACCCCAAACCGGCCCCAATAAGACCCCCAAGGACCCTCCCCTCCCCTCCAGGTCACCATCCCCGATCACTGTGGGGATGCTGCCCCCAAGGCCCCCCCAAAATAGGGCAGGGCCGCTCCCTTTCTCCCCCGGGGGTGCCCCCCAGTCCCCCCCATGCTCAGAACAGGGGGCACCCCCCGATTTCGCGGCTCGGAGCGCACCTGTCTCACCGGGGGGGAGGGGATAAATCCGGGGGGGCCGCGCTGACCCCTGGGGAAGGCAGGGGGGGCTTTGGACGCCCCCACCCCGGGTTCCCCCTCCCATCATCCATCCATCCATCCCCCCCGCCTCCATCCATCCATCGCCGCCTCCGCCCGCGCCGCGCCCAGCGCCGCTGCGGCAGCCGCAGGGCGGGGGGGGAGCGGGAACCGGGATGGAACCGGGATAAAACCGGGATGGAACCGGGATAAAACCGGGATGGAGCGGGGCTGGGGCGGGGGGGCCGCAGCATCGCCCCCGCCCCGGGGGGGGATGAGGATGAGCTCGGCACCACCCGGGGATGAAGGCCCAGCACGGGGGGAGGGGAGGGATGCAGCCCTCCCCCCCACACCTGCATGCGGCCAATTTGGGGAGGGGGCTGAGAGAAGGGGGGGGGGGGGTCACCCAGGCTCCCCCCAATACCCCCGCCCCCAGGGCGCTGCGGCCGCGGCTGCTGCCATCACCCACCTTCCTCCTCCTCCTCCTCCTCAGAGCATCCTGACAAAGGGCCGCCCCCCCCGCACCACGCGTGTCCCGCGCCTCCCCCCGCCCCGCCCCGAGCCAACCCCGCCAATGAACAGCGGGGGGACCCCCGAACCCCGCCACGAACAACGGGGGGACCCCCGAACCCCGCCATGAACAACGGGGGGACCCCCGAACCCCGCGCTGCCGCTCCCGCAATCCACCTTTATTAATTAATTAATTGGGGTCATATCAACAATCATTAATAAGCCATTACCTATTACCTGGGGGGGGGGGGAGCTAATTGCTAATTACAATTTCATAAAGAAATTAATTACAGCTCTGCATCCCCCTCCCCCAAACTCTGCGTTTTAAGGGGGACAGACCCCCTGGCCCCCCTTATTTTGGGGTGTGGGTTTTATGGGGTGCAGGGCACCAGGAAGGGAGCGAGACCCCAAAAATGGGGAATGGGGTCTGGAGCCTTGAGCTTGGCCTTCGGGGGAGACCCTTTTAGGGGCGCCAGGAAACACCTGGAAAAAAAAGAGGAAAAAGAAAAAGAGGGGGGAAAAAAAAAAGGAGGAAATAAAAAAGAGAGGAAATAAAATAAAAAAGGAGGAAATAAAATAAAATAAAAAAAGGAGGAAATAAGGAATATTGAATATTTTAGAATATTTGGAATATTTTGGGGGAAAGGTAATTTCGAGCCTCCCTTATTTACCCAGATGCTCCCCCAAACCCGGAGCCCATTGTGAACCCCCCCAGATTTTCCATCCCCCTCCCCAGGTGTCCCCAAACCCCCCACGGTTGTGTCCCTCCCAAATTCCCGGGGTTCCCCTCCCCACTCACCGTGCCCCAGGTTTGGGGGGTCCCCAGGGGCACGGGGGCCTCGGCCAGACCAGGCTTGGGGGCCCCCCCGGCCGTGCCCCCCAACTCCTGCTCAGCACCGAGCTCCTGGGAAAAGGAGAATTTAAAAATATATATAGCAGAAATGGGGGGTGCCTCCCACTAATAATAACTCCCCCAAAAGAAATAAATTTGGGGTCTGACCTGCAGCACCCCGATGTTTTGGGGAGTTTAGGGTCAGTTTGGGGTCTCACCTGCAGCACCCCCCTGAGCAGCCGGATGTTTTGGGGGGTTTGGGGTCAGTTTTGGGGTCTCACCTGCAGCACCCCCCGCAGCAGCCCGATGTACTCCGCCGCCGCCCGCAGCGTGCCCGCCTTGCTGGGCCGGCGGTGCCGCGGCACCAGCGGCACCAGCGAGCGCAGCTGCGAGAAGGCGCTGTTGAGGTTCCGGATCTGCGGGGCACAAAGGGGCACGGTCAGAGAGCCGGGGGGACCCCCGAGAGACCCCAAAAGGGCTGCAAAGGGACCCTGGTCAGAGACCCCAAAAGGGCTCCGAAGGGAATCGGGTAAGAGATCCCAAAGGGAACTCGGTCAGAGACCCCAAAAGGGCTCCAAAGGGACCCCCTTAGAGACCCAAAGGAACGCCAAAGACCCCCACTAGAGACCCCAAAAGGAACGCCAGAGACCCCCCCATTAGAGACGCCAAAGGGAACCAGATCAGAGACCCCAAAGAGACCCTGTTAGAGACCCCAAAAGGGCTCCAAAGAGGCCCCAGTCAGGGATTCCAAAAGGACCCCCTTAGAGACCCCAAAGACCCCCACTAGAGACCCCAAAGGGACTCCGGTCAGAGACCCCAAAAGAGCTCCAAAGAGACCCAGTCAGAGACCCCAAAGGCTCCTGTTACAGACCCCAAAGGGACCCCAGAGACCCCCGTTAGACACCCCAAAGATCCCCATTAGATACCCCAAAAGGGACCCAGAGACCCCCGAGTTACACCAGGATCCCCCCAGGCCCAAACTGGGATCTCTCAAGGTCAAACTGGGACCACCCCCAGGGCTCAGCAGGATCAAACCAGACCCGCCCATAACCAAAATCGGGGTCTCCCCTGAATTAAATCCTAGGCCAGGACTGAACTGCCCCCCAAGGATTAAAGCGGGTCCCTCACAGAATCAAACTGGGTTAAACGGGGACCTTTAAACCGGGATTAATCAGGGCTCACCAGGGCTAAACATGATTCCCCCATAATCAAACTGAGACCGCAGAATTAAACTGACCCCAGGACTAAACGGACCCACACAGACTCAAACCAGGCCCTCCTAAAACTCACCTGGGCGCCCCGGATTAAACCCACCCCTCAAATCAAAATTCCCCCATGGCACCACCAGTGTCCCCTTGGTGTCCCCCGATGTGACCTTGGGCTGTGTTTTGGGGGTTTTGGGGTTCAGCAGGGTGTAGGGTTTTTGGGGTTTAGGGAGTTTTTGGGGTTTTTGGGGTGGCTCACCCTCTCCCTCTCCTTGGCGTTGGCCGCCTGCCGCCGCTCCAGCACCTCGGCCGGGTCCCCGGTGGGTTCGTAGCCGCCGTCGGGGCCGCGGCGCAGGCGGACGATGGGCGCGGGCCGGGGCAGGGGCCCGAGGCGCTGCTGCAGGAGCTGCTCCAGCAGCTCGGGGGGCGGCGTGGGCTCCAGGGGCTGCGGGACCCCCGGGGGCTCCGAGACCCCCGGGGGCTCCGAGACCCCCGAGGGCTCCAGGGGCTGCGGGACCCCCGGGGGCTCCAGGGGCTGCGGGACCCCCGATGGTTCCAAGCACTTTGAGACCCCCGAGGGCTCTGAAACCCCCGGAGGATCTGGGTCCCTTGAGGGCCCCGGGACCCCTGAGGGCTCTGAGACCCCCGGGGGCTCCAATGACTTTGGGAGCCCCGAGGGTTCCAAGGGCTTCGAGACCCCTGAGGGCTCCAAGTCCCTTGAGGGCCCCGGGACCTCTGAGGGCTCTGAGACTCCCAAGGGCTCCAGGACCCCCGGCCGCCCCCCAGCTCTGCCGGGCTCCCCCATCCCACAAAAGGACCGAAGCTGCACCCCCTGAGCTGACCCTCAAAAAGGGCGAAGTTTGGGAAAAAAAGGGCCCTTAAATACCCGGGGCTAACGAGGCGCAGGTGGGACCCATCTGGGCCTGATGAGCTCGGGCTGTGCCTGGGTTCCCTCAGCCACTGTCCCGGCCTGGACCCCCAAAATCCTGACCCCAGATACCCCCAAATCCTGATCTCTGGCTGTTTCCTCATTCACCATCCCAAAATCCTGATCCCTGGCTGTGCTTCAGTTTCCCCATTCACCACCCCAAAATCTCAGTCTCTTTCTGTGAATCCCAATCTCTTCCTGTGCCTCAGTTTCCCCCTCCCCATCCCAACCTACAAAGCCCTGAGCCCAAAAAAGACCCCCAAAAGCGCACTGAGAAGTATTTGGGATGGGGATATTTGGGGATATTTGGGATATTTTGGGATATTTGGGGTCCTGGCACCGAGGGGCACCTGGAAGGGTGGGTTTGAGAGATTTGCTGCGCTCCTGAAGCCGCTTTTGGGTGGGAAAGCAGAAAAAAGGAGGTTTAGCGACAGCTCGGTAGGTGGCAGTGTCGGCCCCTGGCATGCCGCGAAACTCGGGGAGGCTGGAATAAAAATGGTAAAAAGTAAAATAAAAATGGTAAAATCGCCCTTTTTCCTCCCGAAAAACTCAGGTCACTCCTTGTTATCGGCCTTGGGGGGATCCTCAACCTCATCTCGTCCCTCAGCCCTCCGAGGGGCTCATCCCGGGGAATTTGGGGGCGCTGGGGCTGCCGTGCCTCAGTTTCCCCGCACTGGAACCACCGGATCCTGCTCCGGGACCCTGAGATTCCTTCTGCGCCCATAAGGAGAGTGAGAGCGCAGAGCAAACTCCAAAAAAAAAAACCCCAAAATGACCCTAAAATGAGAGGCGCATGGAAGTTCATGGAGGTTTTCCCTAAGAACTCACAAAACCCCAATTTCCCCTTCTTTAATGCCCCTTAATGAGCTTCCCCGTCCCGCAGCAGGCTCGGGATAATCCCATTATTCCTGCCCCGATCTGGGCACCGTTCTGGCGCTGACAAATTAATCTGAGGGCAGGGAGGTGCAAAGTCACCCCAAAAATGGGCCCGAGCCAGGCTGGATGGCCCCTGGGAGATTCTGGGGTTGGGAAATGCTCCAGGTACAACAGAGGGGGATTAAATACCGAGGGAAAATGAGGAATGGGGGTGGAAATGGGGTTTGCAGGGGTCACGGTTTTGGGGTTACAATAATCAGAATTTGGGGCTATTTGGGGTCATGGTTTCAAGGGGTCGCAGTTATTGGGATTTGGGGTTATTAGGGGAGACATTCATTAGGGGTCACTGTTAATAGGGTTGGGGGTTATTAGGGGTTTTAGGGGTTACAATAAGGGTTCCAATAGGGGTCACAGTTTTAGGGGCTTCAATAGGGATTACAGTTGGGGTTACAGTTTTAGGGGTTCCAATTGGGGTTACAGTTTTAGGGGCTACAATAATTAGCATTTGGGGTTATTAGGGATCGTGGTTTTAAGGGGTCGCAGTTGTTAGGGCCCACATTTTTTATGGGTCACTATTTTTTGTTATCAGGAGCCTCATTTTTAGGGGTTCTGTGTTTTAGGGTGACAATCACGAGGGGACACGGTGATGAGGGGTCCCGGTTAGGGAAAGGAGCTGGGAAAAGGCTGAACCCCAGTGAAACACCAGCCCAGAACCCGGGTGCTGTTTTGGGAACGCTGCTCCCACCCCTCCAAACCCAATTTTCCCTCCCATTTATCAGTTTTCCCTCCCATTTATCAGTTTTCCCTCCCATTTATCAATTTTCCCTCCCTGAGCTGGGGCAGGGCTGGGAGCAGCTGCCCCCCCTCCACCCCTGGGTGCTCCCCAAATCCGGGGGTCTCAGCCCCCCACCCCAGGAACCCCTCTGGCATCGGGCACCGGGACTGGGAAGGGCAGGGAAGGTGCCAGGGGAGGTGCCAGGGCTAATCTGGGCCCGGGGCAGCTGTTGGCACGGCATTAAACCCAATTTTCCTGGCACGGTCCCAAAGGTCCCGGGAAAATTCGGTGCCTGCCAGGGCTGCCAGCCTCGTGCCAGCCTCGTGGTGCCCAGATAAAATAATAAAAATATTTTATGGGGAGTAGAATATTCCAAGGGTCACAAATGTCCTGGAAAGGGTTCGGTGCCTGCCGGGGCTGCCGGCCTCGTGGTGCCCGGATAAAATAATAAAAATATTTATGGCAGTGAAATATTCCAAGGGTCCCCAAATGTCCAGAGCTGCCAGCCTCGTGGTGCCCAGATAAAATAATAAAATATTAAATGGGGAGTAGAATATTCCAAGGGTCACAAATGTCCTGGGAGGGTTTGGTGCCAGCCTCGTGGTGCCCAGATGAAATAATAAAATATTAAATGGGGAATGAAATATTCCAAGGGTCACAAATGTCTCTGGAGGATTTGGTGCCAGCCTTTTGTGCAGGGATTATTGATCCCCTTTTGTGCAGGGATTATTGATCCCCCTCTTGTGCAGGGATTATTGATCCCCATCTTGTGCTGGGATTATTGATCCTCCCCTTGTGCAGGGATTATTGATCCCCTCCTGTGCAGGGATTATTGATCCCCATCTTGTACAAGGATTATTGATCCCCCCCTTGTGCAGGGATTATTGATTTCCCCCTTGTACAGGGATTATTGATCCCCTTTAGTACAGGGATTATTGATCCCCATTTTGTGCAGGGATTATTGATCCTCCCCTTGTGCAGGGATTATTGATCCCCATTTTGTGCAGGGATTATTGATCCCCCCCTTGTGCAGGGATTATTGATTCCCCTCCTGTGCAGGGATTATTGATCCCCCCCTTGTGCAGGGATTATTGATCCCCCTCTTGTACAAGGATTATTGATCCCCCCCTTTGTGCCATGCCCCGGTTATCCCTCAGGAGGGAGCACAATAAAGCGATTTATCGGCACCGAGGATTCGGGCATGGCTTGGACCCCCTCCACCCCAGCGCTCATCCCGGGGGTATCAAACAGCCCAGGCCTGGGTAAACCCAAACAAAGGCTAAAATCCCGCCGGGTTTGGGTGAATCCGGGCGAGCAGCGATGCCGGCGCTCCTCTCGCTGGTTTCCCACCATTGCAGCTCCCCGAGGGACGGGGATGCGGGGGAACAAAGGTGCCTCTGTCCGGGCGGAGAAGGAGCCTTTGTGCGAGCGGGGCGGCGCGGGGAGGATCCAGCCCCAGCAGCCCCAGCTCCCCGTCCCGGGAGGGGAATCTGGGGAGATAAAGGAGTTTCCGTGGGATGGAGGCGCTGCCAGAGCCCCGGAGCGAGGCAGGTGGGTGGGGGGACAGCTCGGGGTGGGGGTCCCTGTGCCGGGGTCTGGGGGAGCCCTGGGCTGCCGCCGGTGGGCATGGGATGGGATCCATGGGATGGGATCAATGGGATCAATGGGATGGGATCCATGGGATGGGATGGGATCCATGGGATGGGATGGGATCTATGGGATGGGATGGGATGGGATCAATGGGATCAATGGGATGGGATCAATGGGATCAATGGGATGGGATGGGATGGGATGGGATGGGATCCATGGGATGGGATGGGATGGGATCAATGGGATCAATGGGATCAATGGGATGGGATGGGATGGGATGGGATGGGATGGGATCCATGGGATGGGATGGGATGGGATCAATGGGATCAATGGGATCAGGACAGGGATCAGGATGGGGTCCAAGTGGGAACAGGAACCAAGACAGAAGTGGGATGGCAGGGATGGGCATGGGTATGAGTTTGAGATGGGGATGGACATGGGGACAGGGCAGGGATAAGGATGGGCATGGGGCTGCAACAGGGATGAGGATGGGAGCAGGTTTGAGATGGGGTGGAAGTGAAGATGGACATGGGGACAGAGCAGGGATGAGGATGGGCATGGGATTGGGACAGGGATTGGGACAGGGATTGGGATGAGATGGGATGGGATGGGATGGAGATGAAGATGGAGATGGGGACAGGGTGGGAATGAGGGTGGGCATGGGATTGGGACTGGGGCAGGGATGAGATAGGGACAGGGACCAGGATGGGAACAGGGCTGAGGACAGGGATGGGATCAGGATTGGGGCAGGGATCAGGATGGGGACAGGGACAGGGATGGGACCAAGGCTGGAGCTCAGCTCTGCCCTGCCCCACCAGCTCACACAGCACCCAGCCAAGGGCTGGGGCTCATCTCAGCACCTGGACAAGGATTTAGGTCTGGTTTTAACCTTTAGCCCATCCAGGCCGTTCCTAAATCCAGCTGGAGCCTGCTGCTCCCAAATCCGAGCTTTACCCCGTCCCTCTCTGCGATGGGCAAACAGGGGCTGCAGCTCCATCCTCCTCCTCCTCCCTGTCAGCACTTCCTGCCTCTCCCATCCCAGACAACCCTCCAGGAGTCTGCTGGTGCTGCTGGGCCCTCTGGGCTGGATAATCTCCGTCAGAATGAATAAACGACTCGGCCTTAACCCTGCTTTCCCCTGCAGCTCCTCTCCAGCAGCAGCGACGGGGGCTCTGCGTGCCCACTGTCACGTAGGGATGGACCCACGGAGCCAGCGCTGGAGGAGGAGCCAGGCAGCTCCTTTCCCCTCTTTCCCCTCTTTCCCCCTCTGTTCTCCCCCACCCGGGTTTCTGGGATTCTCGAGACTCTCAATCTCCCCCTGAGCGCCGGAGCCGCCGTGGCAGATGCTGCGGATCCCAATTAAGCCCTTTGCCGGCTCAGAGCCTCGGGGGAGGCCACGTGTGCCCGTCCCACGTGTGCCCTCACACGCAGCGCACATTTGCACACGCATGAGGAGCTGCGGCGCGGCTCGGCCGCGGCCTCGTTCCGCCCCGGGGCTCCCGGCCCCTCCACGTCCATCCCACCCCTGTTTGTGGGGGCCCCTGCATTTATTGCCGCTCTCTGGGAGGGAGCAGAGAGGGTTCCCCAGTCAGAGAGGGTTCCCCAGTCAGTGAGGGTTCCCCAGTCAGTGAGGGTT